ATCCAAAATCTAAAATTGAAAGGGGTTAACCTTGCTTTTTTAGCAAAATGGGCAAAATCAGATGTTTCTGAAAAATTTCAGATATAAGGTGTTAACCTTGCTTTTTACACAAAATTTGGCAAAATTAAATGTTAATGAGTAAGGGGTTAACCTTGTTGTTTTGCAAAATCGGGCAAAATGAGAATTTTCTGAAAAAAAATTAGATGTAAGGGGTTAACCTTGTTGTTTTTGCAAAATCGGGCAAAATGAGAATTTTCTGAAAAAAATTAGATGTAAGGGGTTAACCTTGCTTTTTTGCAAAATAGGGCAAAATCAGATTTTTATCAAAAATCTGAAATGGTAAGGGGTTAACCTTGCTTTCTTAGCAAAATTGGGCAAAATCAGATGTTTCTGAAAAATTCCAAATGTAAGGGGTTAACCTTGATGTTTTAACAAAATTGGGCAAAATCAGATTTTTATCAAAAATCTTAAATGGTAAGGGGTTAACCTTGCTTTCTTAGCAAAATTGGGCAAAATCAGATTTTTCTGAAAAATTCCAAATGTAAGGGGTTAACCTTGCTGTTTTAACAAAATTGGGCAAAATCAGATTTTTATCAAAAATCTTAAATGGTAAGGGGTTAACCTTGCTTTCTTAGCAAAATTGGGCAAAATCAGATTTTTATCAAAAATTTCAGATGTAAGGGGTTAACATTGCTTTCTTAGCAAAATTGGGCAAAATCAGATTTTTCTGAAAAATTCCAAATGTAAGGGGTTAACCTTGCTGTTTTAACAAAATTGGGCAAAATCAGATTTTTATCAAAAATCTTAAATGGAAAGGGGTTAACTCTTGCTTTTTTAGGAAAATTGGGCAAAATCAGATTTTTCTGAAAAATTCCACATGTAAGGGGTTAACCTTGATGTTTTAACAAAATTGGGCAAAATCAGATTTTTATCAAAAATCTTAAATGGCAAGGGGTTAATCTTGTTTTCTTAGCAAAACTGGGCAAAATCAGATTTTTATCAAAAATTCCAGATGTAAGGGGTTAACCTTGCTTTTTTAGCAAAATTGGGCAAAATCAGATTTTTCTGAAAAATTCCAGATGTAAGGGGTTTACCTTGCTTTTTAGCAAAATTGGGCACAATCAGATTTTTCTGAAAAATTCCAGATGTAAGGGGTTAACGTTGCTTTTTTAGCAAAATTGGGCAAAATTAGATTTTAATCAAAAATCTAAAATTATTAGGGGTTTACCTTGCTTTTTTAGCAAAATTGGGCAAAATCAGATTTTTCTGAAAAATTCCAGGTGTAAGGGGTTAACCTTACTTTTTTAGCGAAATTGGGCAAAACCAGATTTTTATCCAAAATCTAAAATTGTAAGGGGTTAACCTTGCTTTTTTAGCAAAATGGGCAAAATCAGATGTTTCTGAAAAATTTCAGAATGTAAGGGGTTAACTTGCTGTTTGAACAAAATTGGTCAATATCAGATTCTTATCAAAAAACTTAAATGGTAAGGGGTTAACCTTGCTTTCTTAGCAAAATTGGGCAAAATCAGATTTTTCTGAAAAATTCCAAATGTAAGGGGTTAACCTTGCTGTTTTAACAAAATTGGGCAAAATCAGATTTTTATCAAAAATTCCAGATGTAAGGGGTTAACCTTGCTGTTTTAACAAAATTGGGCAAAATCCGATTTTTATCAAAAATCTTAAATGGTAAGGGGTTAACCTTGCTTTCTAAGCAAAATTGGGCAAAATCAGATTTTTCTGAAAAATTCCAGATGTAAGGGGTTAACCTTGTTTTTTTAGCAAAATTGGGCAAAATCAGATTTTTATCAACAATCTAAAATTGTAAGGGGTTAACCTTGCTTTTTTAGAAAATTGGGCAAAATCAGATTTTTATCAAAAATCTAAAATTGTAAGGGGTTAACATTGCTTTCTTAGCGAAATTGGGCAAAATCAGATGTTTCTGAAAAATTCCAGATGTAAGGGGTTAACCTTGCTTTTTTAGCAAAATTGGGCAAAATCAGATGTTTCTGAAAAATTCCAGATGTAAGGGGTTAACCTTGCTTTTTTAGCAAAATTGGGCAAAATCAGATTTTAATCAAAAATCTAAAATTATTAGGGGTTTACCTTGCTTTTTTAGCAAAATTGGGCAAAATCAGATTTTTCTGAAAAATTCCAGATGTAAGGGGTTAACCTTGCTTTTATAGCGAAATTGGGCAAAACCAGATTTGTATCCAAAATCTAAAATTGTAAGGGGTTAACCTTGCTTTTTTAGCAAAATGGGCAAAATCAGATGTTTCTGAAAAATTTCAGATATAAGGTGTTAACCTTGCTTTTTAGCAAAATTTGGCAAAATTAAATGTTAATGAGTAAGGGGTTAACCTTGTTGTTTTGCAAAATCGGGCAAAATGAGAATTTTCTGAAAAAAAATTAGATGTAAGGGGTTAACCTTGTTGTTTTTGCAAAATCGGGCAAAATGAGAATTTTCTGAAAAAAATTAGATGTAAGGGGTTAACCTTGCTTTTTTGCAAAATAGGGCATAATCATATGTTTCTGGAAAATTTCAGATTGTAAGGGCTTAACCTTGTTTTTTTTAGGAAAATCGGGCAAAATCAGCTTTTTATGAAAAATCTAAAATTGTGGGGTTTACCTTTTTTTTTTTAGCAAACATTACCAGCACGTTGTCGCAAAAGTTGGTACCTTGATCCGGTCTTAACTTTTTCTTTCAAATGGGGCTTGCGGTCGCTGCCGAAGTTAACTGAACGTGACGGGGAGTAATAAATAACCGTCTGATTTTTTCTACACAAACCCCCGGTGTAGGGGGTTTTGCATAGAAATTTTCAAATGCCAACTTTTACGACAATGTGTTAGTAATGGTTACGATTTTGTACAACAATTTTACTTCAGGTCTTGTGAAACACCCATCAGGTATGGTATGTTCCTCTCGCGCATACGTCCTAAAAACTCATCATTTGGAGCAATGTGGAGCAATGTGGCACGATGTGGCGCAGAACGCAGCAGTGTTTATATCGGTATAGTTTAAAACACCCACGTGACGGGCTCTTGACCAATAGGAAGGGGTGAACTGTCATGTCTCAGGTAATTATGAACGTAAATTAAACCGCATACACACTAAATTAACCCAAAATAAATTGTATAAAGCCCATTTTTCAAAAATTTCATAGTACGACTTCTGAGGAAGTGACAAGTATGCACGAATCCGGGCATGTGATCGCCAGGCCCCCTTCAATGGAGAAATTGTGCACTGCTTTCACTGTTTGAGGAGGCATACGTGAAAGCATCAATAGCGTCTTCGGATTGGTTAATATGAAGTGTGATGGAAACTTTTTTTCGGTGGGATGGGGAGAGGTGGTGGATCGAGGGTGGGGGTGCATGGGGGTTACCCGCAAACTGTGACGTCAATGGGTCCAATTTGCAGGACGGGACACTCAATGGATTTTTAACAATAAACAAGCTCGATTTTGCCTTGGAAATTCCCCAAATTCTGAGTGGGGGAAGGGGCAACAGTCTCGTACAGGGGATGGGGGGGGGGGGAGGGTATGCCGCTATATTCTCATGTGTAACCTTGCTCAACCCACTGTTCGGGCAACACTAGCCCTGGTCTAACATCCATTGGCTTCATCTCACCATTTCTACCCAAATTGAGGCTTCATATTAACTGTTTCACACTTGTAGATTGCACCAGGAATCTGGTAGCATAGCCTAGATCTCGATTTTTGTGGAGAGTGGTGATAAACCTTTCGGCGACGGCCTCCCTTTGCTATGGAACTATCATGCGGGAAAGGGGGGGGGGGGTGTATGGAATAACACTTACTCGTAAGTCCCCTCCATAGTACACCGATGGACAGGACCAAGCTCGTGGTCGCCGCGTCAGCCTCCCAATAATCCATCCAAACGGGCAGATACACACTAAGCGACGCGGTGAAACCAATCGCGGTGAAATACACCATGAAGGCACCAAATAGAACTACCCAAGCCCAGCCAGCGTCAGTCCGTGGACCTTTGGCCTGGGCAGTCTGCTTAGATTCCTCGGTACTTTGTCCCTCTGCCTGGGGTTGCTGGGGCGTTTGATCGCCTTGTTGAGCATCCATTTTGGGTACAGATCAGGTTAAACAATGTTTAAAGTAACGTTCATCCAAATAACAGTTTTAGTAGTCAGAGTAAGACATCAATGTTTGGATTGCAGGTAGGAATATCAGAGACATCCGTGTAAGACTTCATAATTATTGTATAAACCAACACAAAATATAAACACAACATAGTAGGCCTACAGGTGTTTTGTCCAGGGTATGTGTTTTACTTCAATAGCACCGTTCAAGAATACTGTTTTTATTTTTATCCGTAAAAAACTAGCTGAGTAACGTTCATAGTTGTGAAATACGCGACCTTCAAACATTGGACCCTGCGATTACAAGCCACATGATACATAACCGACGGTGGGCCTATATTGGGGTTCCGTGACCAATTCTAATTGTTTATTTTTTTATCAGCGGGTCATAAACGAATATTATCAGAAGTGTTCTTTATACAATTTGCAGGTACTAAGTGTGAATAGATGTGTGCTTGACCGGTTTTAAACACTCTGTAAGACTTCGGCTCGGGTAATTAAACAGAGTGTTTAATACCGGCCACGCATATATCCATTCCAATTTATAAATATCTTTTTGGCAAAAAAAAAATTAGTCCAAAAGTCAAAACAAGTCAAAAATTACAAATTTCCAACGATTTGTTTCAACAATTTTACTTCAAGTTTTTCGAAACACCCCTGTAGCTTTATTATGGTAGTGTCCATGTCGTAAACAATTTCTTATGTTGAAATGCTGACTCACTGGCATTGTTGCGCATGCGTGTGCATTGTGAGCGATCAACCAATTAAACGGTAGTCCAAATTTCATGTGACACTGGAAAAGTGTTTAAGATCGGCCAGCCGGTCTTTATCAACCGTTTAAGACCAGGTATACGTGACGGGCTCTCGACCAATAAAAATTGGGAAAATGTCTTGGTTATTTTTGATGGTCTTTATAAAAAACTATCTTCATCAACATCACAAAAAGTACAGCCGAATAGAGCGATTAAAAAAACCCTGACATTTGGTACCCTTCAAAGTGAGATTAACAATCCACCGTAATAATAATAATAATGTGTGGTGCTTATTTCATGTGAGAAAGACAAGGCTGTAGCTTAAGCTTAAAGTAAATTTAAATTTAGTAGTGGAATTGTGCCCTTCACTTAACACATGTTAAAGTTAAACCGACAATTATAATATGATGTCTGATTAGAAAAAAATTATTCGACAATTTTCAAACCATGCTAATGAAGGTATGGTGTTTTGTGTGTGTGATTGCACCAGGAATCTGGTACATCCAAGATCTCGATACGGGACGACACCCTTCATAGTGCAATGTGTTTTTTTTTCTTTTTACTATTTGCGGGTCATTACCGACGATGTTCAAATGTGTTCTTTGTGAACAGATATCATATTCAACATCACAAACAGTACAGCCGAATCATGCGATTAAAAAAAATTTGACCCTTCAAAATGAGATTAACAATCCACCGGAATATATTTCCATCAGGGTTCGAAATTAGCGGGAGCCCTCTAGCCAAATGCTAGTCAAAACAGCAGCGGACTACCCTTCATTTAAAGGAAAAGACCCCTTCCATCTGACGTCACATCTGAGGGCAGGCCTTTTGTTTACTATCTTTGTCACTTAATTTAAATAACAAAACAAAAAATGCACTCGGGGAGGGCGCACTGTACAAGGGGTCTACAGAAAGTCGAGATGACACATCAGCAATTTCATTTATTTGTTTCGAATTAAAATTGTGCACGAATGTGGTATAAATTGAATTATGAATTTTACCTCGGTTTGTGTTTTTAGCTGTAGGCCCTATGTGCTAATTAAAACTGTGGCAAAACTGTGGTGACATGTCACTGTTAACGGATTTAGAAGCCATAGCGTCTCAAATGTTCATTCTTAAGTTCCGTTTTGATATATACATCCTTTCGAGCTTTCAATCATATAAAAATACATAACGCTGAAGCTAAAGGGATGATATGGAAATCCTTAAGGGAGAACTACGAAGTTCAGGGGGTATGAAAAAAGGGAATCCGAAAGTAGTGAGGTAGTACGTGTATGTTTAAAATAATATGCACTCACCATTCTCACTGCGGTTGCATCATGAAAAATGGGTCATCAGCTTGCCATGAATACCTTAGTCGTATCCCTGTCGTCACGGACTCTAAGCACCATTGTTTTCAACAGCTAAGAATGCTTTAGTTAAACTTTACTGTATCTCTGCAAAAATGTGTACCATTGAGCCCGCTACACTTGAGAGCCACGTGCTGAGCAAAAAGTCATTCGAAGCCGTTTGCTCTGCACGTAGCTCACAAAATATTACCGTGTGTGGTCAATTTTTGCTGCGTTTTCCGTGAGGCAAATATCTATCCTGTTTGATTTTTTAACCTGAGCTACGTGCTGGGCTAAAAAGATTAATTAGCCAATGAAAGCACATACTCTAGTCATGTGATGTCATGATATTGTTTTGCAATTTCTTCTAAAAGCCTGCTGGCGTTTGTCCCCATCTTGAGATCACGTGAACAGATTATTTGCTTTCATTGGCTAGTTGTTTGTTTAGCTCAGCACGTAGCTCAGGTTGACCGCACACGGCGAGTTTTTCGCCTCGAGAAGGGAACAAAATCAAACAGGGGAGATACTTGCCTCACGGCCTTGCGAGGCAGAAGACTCGGCAAAAAAATACCGCAACGTACGGTGATATTTTGTGAGCTACGTGATGAGCAAACGGCCTCCAAAGACTTTTTTGCTCAGCATGTAGCTCTCGTGTGCGACGGGCATTAGGGTATAATGCATAGAAAGGCAGGAAACTGAACCACAGTGGGATATTCCAAACCCGACTTGATTTCTATAAACTGTTTAAAACAATACTGTGCATGGTAATACTGTGCAATTGGGTCATCAGCTATGGTTATAGTCGTGACGCCCCGGCTAATGGGAAAAAACACTTACACATGAACAATACGATTCTTATATGGCTCCTTCTGGACCTGCATTTTCGATTTAGCGGTCGGTGTCAAAGTCTGCAATATTTACTGGTGTCCGTCGTCAGTTCGTCGTCGTCACGTGACACCGCATCGGTAGTTTCGACGCCAAAGGCGGGATTTTCGAATCCTCTTTCAGGGTCCTTACTCCCACTGCAACAAGTCAGTTCGGATTCGGAATCATCAGGCGACGTGTCCGAGTCCCTGATGTCTTGATTGATACAGTCAGAGGCATCTATCGGTGTTGTCGAGCTGGGGAAGATGGCTACCGAGTTGACAGCGAGGCAATCCATCCCATTTGGCTGGCTCTCCGGGCATGATTCTCCCATCGGTAACGACTCGGGAGATGGTTCACACTCCGTTGCCGACACCCCAGTCGTAGTTTCCTCTGAACTTGGAGTTTCCACAGACTCAAATAAAGGGTTCACAGCTTGTACCTTCGCACCTTCACTGTCTGTTGTAATAGCGTTGTTTTCCAGGACCCCGGACGCAGTGAGAGTGTATAAAGGATTGACCACCCCTAATTCGCCATTTTGTGAACCGCCCTGTTTCGAACTGACATCGTAGGATGCCGACTTATTAGACAGATTCTTGAGTTTCATTTTTCTCGGTAGCTTCGCCCAAAACCTGGCCACAGGTAGATGTCGTTTTGTGTGGACCCTCTGGAGAAAGTACACGACGGTTGCCAGTAGGGAAGCCATCAGTAAAATGGCCGCGCCTGTGAAGAATGCAACGTTGTAGCTTTTCGTGTTGTCGTAGATCAAACCTAATAATAAAACAATAGAAATGCATACTTATAGAGTCTACAGGGGTTAATCAGGTATAGATACAGATACCTCCCACATTAACCTTCATACTGAACATCGATCGGAATTTCAGTTATTGATCAGCTACAACTCCCTGTTCGGCAAACTTAAAACTATGCTTGCCTATTGCTCATCAAAATTGTTTCCTACAAATCTGATATTTGCGACTTATTTTTAAAATGAGTTTAGGATCTCTCTATATAGTAGTGTTACAATGAAGTCTATCACAGGTTAATTACAAGTAAAATCATATGTCAATCAAAACGAGTTACTAACCCATTTGGGGAGGAACCGTGGCATAAATTGATTTAAATAGACCGCCGTTTGACTTGAGAGCGGATGTCTTGTGCATGTGATGGACCTGTTAAGACTGCACTTTGTCACTATAAGCAAACAAACCTTCATTTGTGTCAGAGTAAGACAACCTTTTCGAGCTTAACTCTCGTCTAACTTACGTTAAGGAATGTTTATCTCAAGTTAGTCACGTAAAGTATCGGGTCTTCGTATGAAGTGACATGTAGAGGCACCTACCAGAGCTTTAAAAACTGTTAATGCTTTTTCCTGACACAATTAATTGTGATGTATAAGTACTCACTGGACTATCTGAAAAAACCCTGATCAGTTTTGTCCCGAATCTGGGTTCTATTTGGCCTTCTACTTTTCAGGGTAAAACGAATGATACGTTCCTAGTTCAAAGACACTTTTGCAAAGGTTTCCAAAAAGTTCAAAAAGGACCCAAAATGTGTAAGTTCTTACCCACAAAAGTATTAGACCAAATCGAACCCGGAATCCGAGACAATCTGACCAAGGACTTTTTAGAGTGTATGAACCAGAATTTTACCTCCAACTAGGGTTCCAGTGAGTTTCCCGCATGAAGTGAAAACCAGCATGATTCCTAGGGCTGCAGAAGCATCACCAAGCTTTACGAGGGAACGAATGACGACCATTGACAGAGAACCTGATGACCCCGCTGCTACTCCCGTCACAACGGCTAAGACCGCCAGAGGCCCGAAGACAACAAACGCTGGCATGAGAGCAGTCGAAACACCGTACACAGCTAAGCTCAACACGTAGGTCATATTGGCACTGATGTATTTCTTATCAATGAACCAACCGGGACCGATGCGGCCTATCAAGCCTCCAACACCAAACAGAGACAGCAGAAGAGCTGATCTTTGAAGATCAATGCCTACAGAGGTCGCCCGAGCTACGATATAAGTGATACTCAGATTTCCAAAACCGTGAAAGAAATAGGCAACCAACATCAGCATAAACCTTCGGTTGTGTATCAGACGTCTGAGACCATATTCTTCAAGCAAGTAGTTCTTCACCTGAGACCAACGCACATTTTTATATCCAATGAACGTGGTTGGTTTACTCTCAGAGATAACTGAATCGGGATCCATTACTTGAGCAAGTCCATCCTCTTCAATCGCTGCTACAAGAGTCCCTGTGAAGTCTTCAGTCGGGGAAGCATTGTCGTCGTTGATGAGTTCATCCGTGTCGGCTATAATGACGGCAACGTCTTTGTCATCACTTTGCTCCTCATCGATTCCACCTGAGGAGTTACCATTGCTGACTGACTCATTTGGTTTTTCTGCCTCTTCCTCTGTCCCTGTCTTGTGCCTCTTCTTGCGAGTAACTGGCCTCATGAGTGCCCCCGCGGCGGCTAGGTGTAAAGTGATTGCTGATGTTATAAGGATGGATCCCTTCCAGCCATACGTATCAATAAAGAGTGTTACCAATGGAGGAAAAGCCAGTTGGCCTATGCTGATTCCCGCCATAGCTATTCCAACAGCAAGAGTGTACCTTTTGTGGAAGTACAAACCCAACACTTGCATTGTGGAGACATACACCAAGCTGACTCCCAAGCCTACAGTGTATAGAACGAAAGGAAGACGATTATTCCCAGAACAAGAAAGAAGAATGTGTACAGGCAGTGTATCCAGTTATACCTATTAACGCCTTTGACAAACAGACCGGCTTGTTCCACATCAATGTATTGGTTAAAAACCGTCTGCAATGAAAAGAACTCAGTGAGTTGTAACCAGATAGCGTAAGATACAAATGTAAAACTTTCTAATTGAGAATTGTCAACGTTCCCTTTCTATTTAGTTTTTGTGGCAGATATTCATGCTATCGCTAGGTACTTTGAACGAAATAGAAGCTACTTTCTTTTCTTGTTTTTGTTTAGGAAATCACGATGATCTTCTTTTGTGAAAACGCCATTGGTGTTCGTGTTCTTGACATTTTTCTTGATTATGGACAAACATTATGGAAAACGGAGAATCGGTTGCTCTGCATAAGACATGCTACATTTTGTTTTTATTACAATGAAAACAAATGAAGTTTTCGACAAGGCAGTTTTGGTATTTCTTATGTGCCAGGGAGGTGTCATCCTATATGGAATGTATGCATTTCCATGAGAAAGTTTTCGGATAGCATTTGCGCGCATTATGTTCGCAGGGCGGGGGATACGAGCGAACGGCTATGCGTCTCATTCTTGAACAATAGAGGGCGCTTTAAAGACGCCATCTTGGGATAGGAACGGACGTGTATCAAAGGTTATTGACGTAAGGTTACATGTTCCTACAATAATTTTTAAAAAATATATGTTTTAAATCGTTAATTAGCAGATTTAAGTAAAGGTACGAAGCTGCTTTATTAACGGGATTTTTTTTCTCTCGTTCTTGTACCAAGCGACGTTACAGCGCCCCCATTGACTAACAAAATATCCCATTACAACAGTTGACATGCAGCAATTAATTAATGTTCATGGCTATGGACGATTGTATATCATGTGCACAAACGAAAATACAAAACAAAGCTCTTACCAGGTATTGAACTGAAAAGAATCAGGACAGTGATGGATGGGGACATTGACATCAAGGCAATCCCTCCTGCTGTGATAACTCCGCCCACTAGTGTCATTGCACGGGGTCCAAACTTGGTGCAAAGTGCACTTGACAAGGGACCTATGCGATAATTCGTTGAGGATTGGGGAAAAAAGCACTTTTTTAACGTTAACGTTACTTTCAATTTTCAACTAAAGAGCAATCAATATTTACTGTATATTAAATTTATGAATAAATTTGCATTCCTGTGTCAGACGTTCAACAAGGAGTGTCATGGCCTAGCGGGTTAAGAGCACCGGACTCATGCTCTGGCGTTTCAGAAGCAACAGTGGCGTGGGTTCGAGCCCGGGCCCGGACACTTGTGCCTAAGCAAGGCACTTAAGCATTATTGCTTCGTCCTTCGGATGGGACGTTAAACCGGAGGTCCCGTGTGTTGTATAAGGCCTAACGCACGTAAAAGAACCCAGTAACACTTATCGCTAAGAGAAGGGGTTTGCCCCAGTGTTCTGGCCTCCTAGTTATACTCCCTTGTGGAAGTCTTTAGGAGAAGAGCCCACCAAGTACCAAGTAAGTAAGTTCGACCAGAGATAGTCTCCGTGAAGAACGGGTGATACTTAGACTACCCAACTACAGGCATGAAAGGCAAACAATGGTATAAACAACTGTGAAGCTTCAGTCCTTTCGATGATGACACTACTTACTCAGAATTCCCCTCGATAGTGTAGTGATGGATATAACCAAGCTTGTGGTCGCCGCGTCAGCCTCCCAATAATCCATCCAAACCGGCAGATACACACTAAGAGACATCACGAAACCAATGGAGGTGAAATACACCACGAAGGCGCCGCATAGAACCACCCAAGCCCAGCCAGCGTCAGTCCGTGGACCTTCGGCCTGGGTTGTCTGCTTAGATTCCTCGGAAAGTTGTCCCTCTGCTTGGGGTTGCTGGGGCGTTTGATCGCCTGGTTGAGCATCCATTTTGGATACAGATCAGGTTAAACAGTAATGTTCATCTAAACAAACAGTAGCCTTACTAGATCAGAGTAAGACACATGCTTATTTGGAATACGGGTGGGAATATCGAAGACATCAATGAAAGTACTTCGTATAGGCCTATTTCGTATGAACCAACACAAAAATATGCACAATATAGTAGGCCTACAGTTGTTTTGTCCATTCATTATCACTGTTCAGGAATACTGTTTTTATTTTTATCCGTAAAAAGGAGCCGAGTAACGATCATAGTTGTGTAATAGTTTCCTTGAACATTGGACCCTATACAAACCACGTGATACACAGCCGACAGTGGGCCCATATGGGGTTACTGTATTATTATCTTTTTTTATAATCTCATTTTTATTGCTTGTGTGTAATCTGTTATTCTCACTCAGCTCAATAACTGCATTCCATGGATTGCTTTTTTTAGAAGAAAAAATCATAAATTTGGGTCACTTTCTTTTGACTCACCCTGTTCACAAGTATCCCCTCACCGGCAAAGAAAGTACAGTTGGGGGTGACCGACCGACGCCATCTTGGCCTGTACGTAAATGTACGTTAAGCTTCAAAAGCTTAATGTAAAATTTAAACTGATAATAAAAATATGATGTCTGATTGCAAAAATCATTCGACAATTCTAAAACCATGCTAATAATAAAGTGATAGTGTTTTTGTGTGATGGCACCAGAAATCGTGGTACATCCAAATCTCGACACGGGATGACACCCTTAATAGTGAAATTGAAATTTGTTGGCATTCTCAGATAAGGGCGTCCCTTTTTATTCCTGTGTTTCTCAAATTTATTTGCCTCTGAAGTAGGATCAGTTGGTCGGGGAAAAAATCTGAAGAAAAAAATTGCAAAAGCATTCATGGCTAAAATTAAGTTTGCGAAAGTGCGTATTGCCTCTAGTTTTGGCACATGTAACTGCAATGAGTTTATCATGAGTTGATATCACTAAACAAAATAATAAAGACATTTTTTGCAAGATGTAGTTGACTTAATACTGCATCATGTACTGCATCATGTAGCTCCCTACAACTAGATGTAAAGGTCAACTACAGACCTCAAATAAGCTGCAACACCCTCGCATCTTCTGAGATAGCACTGGTAGATGTATGCCCGTACTTTGCGTATAAGTGTAGTTCTGTATTATTTTTCCATAGCTTTTCAAAAGCCTGATTGCTTGAAGTTTGTATTCTGTATATTTTTCATTTCTTAATTATATACATGAAGGGCGACCACTAGTGAATAACGGTCGACCTATAAGTACTAATGACTACACAATCATGCATATTCATGACAACCATTTGGAAGTGCAGTTATACCCCCCCCCCACCCTAGAAGAATTGATGACGACACAAACATGATTATTCATGTCTTACTCTAGGGGCGACCGATAGTGCTATTTTGGTCGCCCTTGTAGAGGTACTGATGACCACAAACGTGACCACCTCTAGGGGCGACCATTAGGGCAGTAATGGTCGCCTGTGGACGTACTATGATGACGATACAAACATGCAAACATCTATAGAGGCGACCATTACACAGGAAAACCTACCTATGACGACACGGGGTGGGGCACGGGGGCAAGGGGAGTGGGCACAGATGTCCGTGTTCCCCCGTCCCCCCCCCCCCCCATTAAAAATCTTGAATATCATGTGCCTTCAGTGCTCCCTTCCCCTTTAAAAAAATCGTGCACCCCAGATCACTACCAGTTTAACCCTAGGCTAGTCATGCCACTGCCACTTTAAACTAATGACGCATAAGCATGCATGTTCGTGATTACCGCTAGCGCTACGGACAATCATTCGACATGGCAATTATGGTCGCCCCTATAGAGGTACATATGATTTATGGCCCGCTCCTTGAAAACAAAAGGTTCAACAGGAACTCACAACAACTGACAATACTCAATGAGCCGCGAGTACCAAAATCAAGACGCTACAAACATCGGCTATATTTTAACACTCATCGCTTTAATTCAAAGGAAAAGACCCCTTATCTTACGTCACATCTAAGTAGACATCTTGTACTTTCATTGTCACTGAATTTAAGTAGCAACCAAGCTGCCCTCAGTGAGTGCGCACTGTGCGAGTTGAGACAGTCGAGATGACACATCAGTGATTGCATTTATTAATTTTGTTTCGAATTAAATGTGTTCCAACGTGGTACACCTTTAACTATGAATTGTCCCTACGTTTTTGTTGTTTAGTTGTGTGCGTTAATCAACATGCAGCAAATTATCTTAAATAGAATTGTTTCTGACCGGAAACGACGTATCACTTGTAACGGATTAAGCATCCATAACGTTGTCTCAAATGTTCGTGTTTAAGATCCGCTTTTGATATATCCATAAGAGCTTTCACAGGGTGAGTCAAAAAAGCGGAAACAAAACCCTCAAAATTATATTTCATAATTAAAAAATAATGACTGGAAAGCCAATTTCATGAGCTACCTTTAGATAAAAAAATACAGAAATTGCTCAATCCGTTCAAAGAATATCACTAATTGAACACAATGACCCTAAAACCTCTTTCGTCCAAAAATGCAATTTCAAGAATCGTCGTCACAGTTGTCTTCCAACATCACCAGCGATAAAACCTCAGTTTAAAAGTTAAAATATTCAACAAAGTCTTTTTAAAGGGCTCGTATTTTCAAAAAAAAGTGGATTTTATAAATCATGTTGTTTTCATAACCAGGGTTGTTAATAAAGATAGTGTGTACTACAGTTGGTGAAACAAGTATTTGTGACAAAATGTAGCTGGAAAAAATCCCAAAGCTCTACACAAATAACGTCATCACCAGACAATCACATTCAAAATTACTGCGCCAATGAGTGAGGACTTTCCATTTTATTTATTTATTTATTTGTTGCTGTGTTTAATATGCACTTAACACTCTCACTACGGTTGCATCATAAAGAAGGGTTATCAGCTTGCCATGAAAACCTTAGTCGTATCTCTTCAGTCACGGAGTCTAAGCACCGTTGACGTGAAAACAACAGCCAACAATGCTCTAATAAACATTACTGCATCTCTTGAAAAATGTGTATACCAATTGGGTATATTGGCATAGAAAGGTAGGAAACTGAACCACGGGGTGGGATATTCCAAACCCGACTTGATTGTGTAACTGTTAGTTACACAATATTGTGCAAGACTTTTAATATGTACACCTATATTCAAAACTTGTTCTTCGTTGAACACAGATGAGTTTTTCTACAATCTTTGGTTTAACTACCCAGAGCCTTCCGCATTCTTAGTTAATACTAACAACACAGATTGACTTCGAAATATAGACCTACATGTACACCCAAATTCGGGGGAAAAATGATGTTTAATTTGTACTTGAAAAAATGGGATCACCGGCTATGTTAAAGTCGTGATGCCCAGAGGTAAATGTATAATGACAATTACGGGGGGTGGGGGGACACTCAAACGTGAACAATATGATTCTTATATGGTTCCTTTTTGGACCTTCATTTTCGATTTAGAGGTCGGTGTCAAATTCTGAAATGTTACTGGTGTCCATCGTCAGTTCGTCGTCGTCACGTGACACCGCATCGGTAGTCTCGACGTCAAAGGCGGGATTTTCAAATCCTCTTTCAGGATCCATGCTCTCGCTGCAATTACTCTGTCCGGATTCGGAGCCATCAGACGATGTGTCCGAGTCAAAGGCGGGATTTTCGAAACCTCTTTCAGGGTCCATGCTCTCGCTGCAACAATTCAGTCCCGATTCGGAGCCATCAGACGATGTGTCCGAGTCCCTGGTGTCTTGATTGATGCAGACAGGAGCATCTATCGGTGTTGTCGAGATGGGGACGATTGCTGCCGAATCGACAGCGAGGCAGTCCATCCCATTTGGCTGGCTCTCCGGGCATGACTCTCCCATCGGTAACTCGGGAGATGGTTCACACTCCGTTGCCGACACCTCAGTCGTATTTTCCTCTGAACTTGAAGTTTCCACGGACTCAAATAAAGGGTTCACAACTACTACATTTGCACCTTCACCGTGTGTTGTAATAGCGTCGTTTTCCAAGATACCACTCGGAGTAAGAGTGTGTAAGGGGTTGACTATCCCCAAGTCGCCATTTTGTGAACCGGCCAGTTTCGAATTGACCTTGTAGGATGCCGACTTAGACAGATGCTTGAGTTTCATTTTTCTCGGTAGCTTCGCCCAAAACCTGGCCACAGGTAGATGTCGTTTCTTGTGGGCCCTCTGGAGAAAGTACACGACAAATGCCAATAGTGCAGCCACCAGTAGAATAGCCCCACCTGTGAAGAATGCAACGTCGTAGCTTTTCGTGTTGTCGTAGATCAAACCTAATAAGAAAACAAGAGAAATGCATACTTATCGAGTCTGCAGGGGTTAATCAGGTATAGATACAGATACCTCCCACATTAACCTTCATACTTGATCATCGATCGGACGGTCAGCTATGACTCCCTGTTCGGTACTAAACGTAAAACATGTTTTGCCTATTGCTCACCATAATTGTTTTCCACAAGTCTGTTTTTCCACTTACTTTTAAAAGAGTTTATGATCCCTCCATAGAAGTGTTACAATGAAGTTATCACAGGTTAATCACAAGTTAAATCATAAGTCAATCCAACGAGTAAACTAATTTGGGGATTGTAATGCTTCTTTATAGTAGCATTTAGGAAAGGACAGAGACTTGTCTTTGACTTAAACATAAACTGTTTTATTCACATGCTAGCGGCCATCTTTTTCTAGCTCACAGGGATGAGTGGAGATGATATTCTAGGGGGCGTTATTCACATTTATGTGGTATACAGCGGTATCAATCCATTGAATAGACTGTCGTTTGACTTGAGAGTGGATGTCATGTGATGGACTTATTATGCGACTTCCATTTACACTGTAGGCTGTGTCACAGAAAGACAGCTTATTCGGACTTACATAGCGTCTATAAGTTGCGTTAAGGTATTTTTTTTATCCCAGTTAAGGTACCAGGAGTTCGTATGACACTAAGAGGTATTAGGCCAGATACCCTGTTAACAAAACACCTATTTAGATTTGAACTAGAAAACAGTTTCACGTTTTCTAGTCAATTTAACTAGAGTGTTTTTAGAGAGTCAAACCCCGAAATTTGAGTCAGTCTGGCCAAGGACTGTTTAGAGTGTATGAAACAGAAGTTTACCTCCCACTAAGGTTCCAACGACGATCCCACTTGCTACGAAAACCAGCATGATTCCTAGGGCCGCAGCAACATCACCAGGCTTCACGAGGGAACGAATGACGACCATTGACAGAGAACCTGATCCCCCCGCTCCTACTCCCATCACAACGGATACAACTACCAGTGGCCCGAAGGCAACAAATGCTGGCATGAGAGCAGCAAATGCACCGTACACGGCTAAGCTCAACACGTAGGCCGTCATGGCACTGATGTATTTCTTATCAATGAACCAGCCGGGACCGATGCGGCCTATCAAGCCTCCAACACCAAACACAGACAGCAGAAGAGCGGACCTGTCGAGATCAATACCGACAGATGCCGCACGAGACACGACAAACGAGATACTCAGCATTCCAAAACCTTGAAAGAAATACGCAACCAACATCAACATAAACCTGCCGTTGTGTACCAGTCGTCTGAGACCGTACTCGTCTAGCAAGAAGTGCTTCATCTTAGACCAACGCAGATTTATATATCCAATGAACGTGGTTGGTTTATTCTCAGAGATAACTGAATCGGAATCCATTACTTGAGCAAGTCCACCCTCTTCAATTGCTGCTACCAGGATGCATGTGAAGTCCTCGATCGGGGGAGCATTGCCATCGTTGGTAAGTTCATCCGTGTCGGCTATAATGACGGCGACGTCTTCGTCATCACTTTGCTCCTCATTAATTTCATCTGAGAAGTCACCATTGCTGTTGGCATCAGACCTATCACTAGAACCATCACTGCCTTCGTTATCTCCGATGTCTACCTGGTCACCCGGTTGCGAATCTTGTTCCTCCTTGACAGACTCGTTTGTTTTTTCTTCCTTCTCCTCTGTCCCTGTCTTTTGCCTCTTCTTGCGAGTAACTGGCCTCATGAGTGCCCCCGCGGCGCATATGTGAAAAGTGATTGCTGATGTTATAAGGATGGATCCCTTCCAGCCATACGTATCAATGAAGAGTGTGATCAATGCAGGAAAAGCCAGTTGGCCTATGCTGATTCCCGCCAAAGCTATTCCAACAGCAAGAGTGTACCTTTTGTGGAAGTACAAACCCAGCACTTGCATAGTGGAGACAAATGCGAAGCTGATACCCAATCCTAGATAGAACGAAATCAAGACGATTATTCCCAGAACAAAAAGAAGAAATGTGTATCGGCATTGTATTCAGTACGTTATACCGATCAACGCTATTGGCAAGTAGACCGTGTTCCTATCAATGTTAGTTAAAAACTTGTCTGCAATAAAAAAGAGCTGTGAGTTATGACCCGGTATAGCGTAAGATAGAAAAATGTTAAAATTTGTAATCATGAATTTTAAACGTTCCCTTTGAATTAATTTAGTAACGTTTTCGTTTTCTTTTTGTGCCAGATATTCGTACTATTGCTAGACATTCATAAAAAAAGGCAGTGTTGACCCAAAAATCCAACATTTGAACGAAAGAAAAGCTCCTTTTTTTGTTAACAGGATACCGCGATCTTCTTTTGTGAAAATGTCATTAATGATCATGTTCTTGACACATTTCTTGATTCGGGGCAAACGAAAGAAATATATGGAAAACAAGAATCGGTTGGTCTGCATAAGACATGCTCCATTTGTTTCTTATCAAAAATGAAAATACAAATGTATAAAGTTGACACAATTTAATATCAATGGACGATTCTCTATGGTATGTGCATAAATGAAAATACAAGACAAAGCTCTTACCCGGTATTGAACTCAACAGAATCAGGACTGTGATGGATGGGGACAGTGACATTAAGGCTATCCCTCCTGCTGTGATAACTCCGCCCACAATTGTCACTTTGCGGGGTCCAAACTTGGTGCAAAGTGCACTTGACAAGGGACCTATACGACAATTCGTTGCGGTTTGGAGAGAAAATAAAAAACACCTTTTGACGTTACTTTCAATATTCAACGAAAGGATAATGAATTTGTGCTTTTCCCAGCCTAGTTTCCTTTTTTCGTTGTATAAACCTGACCCAAGAACTGGGGGTAGGGGTTGGTCGAGTGCATTGAAGAAAGGCAAAAATGGTATGAACAGCTGTGAAGTTTCAGTTCTTTCGATGATGACACTACTCACCAGAAATTCCCCTCGATAGTGTACACATGGATATAACCAAGCTTGTGGTCGCCGCGTCAGCCTCCAAATAATCCATCCAAACGGGCAGATACACACTAATAGACATCGCGAAACCCATCGTGGTGAAGTACACCATGAAGGCACCGCATAGAACCACCCAAGCCCAGCCAGCGTCAGTCCGTGGACCCTTGGACTGATGGGTTGTCTGCTTAGATTCCTCGGTACTTTGTCCCTCTGCTAATTGGGGCTGCTGTGGCGTTTGCTCGCCTTGTTGAGCATCCATTTTGGATCAGGAACAGAGTAATGTTCAATGGTTTGTGTTAGTCAGAGTAATTATTTGGCTTACGGGCAGGAATTACGAAGACATCAGGCACTGTGTAAATACATTTCGTATGAGCAAAAATATAGACACTATAAAACAGTTTTGAATACTTGGTGTATGTGTATCTAATTTATTGTCAACGTTCTGGAATACAATGTACTGTTTTTATTTAATCTGTACACAAATTGCTGAGTAACGTTCATAGTTACGAAATTCGTGACCTTCAAACATTGGACCCTGTATTTACAAGCCACGTACGTGACACATATCCGACGGTGGACATATATGGGATTCAATGAACCACTTTTTTTTTCGATTTTACGGGTCACTATCAAAGTTTATCAAGTGTTCTTTAAAGTCTTTGTGAAAAGTTGTCATCTCCAACATCCAAAAAAGTTCCAGCGAATCACGCGATTTACACAAAAAAAACCTGAATTGTCGTACCCTCCAAAATAAAATTAACAATCCATCTTATAATTCCATGATTAGACAAACCCGCATTAGTGTTGTATTTCCTGTGAGAAAAACAAGGTCATATTTGTGGCTTAAGACTTACGTAAATTTAAATTGATCAATGGGTTTTCGCTCTTCACTTAAACGTGTTAAAGGCTATAAACACAAAAAGTCATTCGACAATTTTAAAACCATGCAAACGAAGTACAAAAACATGTTTTGTGGTTATTGTTTGATGGCATTGTCTAGTAGCTTCGGAATTGTTCGGCTTATCGATGTGGTGGCTCTTCCTAACTATTATCAGAAGTCAATATGGTACCGAAGGAAATGGGCCGATTGTACTTGCGAGTACTTAGGCCTACCTGTAGAGCATTACTATAGAATACAATAGCCATTTGCTACAATTTATTTCCCACAGTCATCAAGGGTCGATCCGTGCTCAGTCCTCTGCTCTTCATAATATTCCTGGAGGCACTGTCGCAAGAGTTCCAAACAGGTTGCCCTTGGGAACTGCTGTATGCTGACGATCTGGTGATAACGGTAGACCATCGAGGAGCACAACAAATTCTCTCTGTCTGGACGTTAACATAATCTTGAGTCAAGGGTCTTCCTGTCATCATGTCCGAAACAAAATCCTCTGCAGTAGGCGTGGTGGCCAACCTAAATCTGACCCTTAAAGTGGCCATGTGCCGTCTGCAAGAAAGGAGTCGGCAGTAACTCAAACAAGATCCAAATCTCAAGTTTAAGGTGTGTTCTGGGAATGTCAACCCTCAGACACCTGGCATTGCTAATCTAGTTTTGGGTAATGACACTCTTCGGGTGGTGGATTCCTTCTGTTATCTTGGGAGTGTCATAAGTCAGTCAGGTGGTTGCTTTGACGCTACAGCTGCAAGGGTACGCACGCCCTAGAAGCACTTTCACGATCTGCTACCAGTTCTGAGTTCTGACCAACAAGGGGATCTCCATACACTGTCAGGGGTTATGTCCTATAATACCTGTGTGCAAGGCGCTCTTTTGTATGCGAGTGAAACATGGCCAGTAACTGCTTACGACATCTACCGCCTTACCCGCAACGATAACGCCATGACCAGATAGATTTGTTCAGCAAAGCTGTAGAGCAGGAAATCCATGGCTGAGCTAAGGCGCCAACTCCGTCTGTCGTCTGTCTGTTGCCGATGAGGTGGCTCGTCGGGTCGCCTTCGATGGTTTGGTCACCTCCAGCATATGAATGAGGACAGCTGGCCAAGAAAAATCCTCGACTACCAGATCCCTGGCAACTACCCACGTGCCCACCCAAAGAAAAAGTGGAGCGACAACATCAACAATGACCCGAAATGCCTACAGATCAATACCCGTGAGTTTCCGGGCGCTCCGGCTACTGACGCACCGGCACGTACAGCTCCGTTTGACGGTGTAAAATAACGGGAACAGCGCGGGTCGATGAGATGTAGGCAAAATAACCGCGACTTACCCGCGTTCCGGAGTGCGAATTGCCGAGATGGGGCAACCGTAAATCTGCTGCCAATTATGGGGAGAGCTAGCTGCCGAGGTTGGGCAGACTCATCTCCGGTTGACGGGGCCGTATCATAAGTCCGACGCCTCATAGGTCCGACGCCTCATTGAGGCGTCGGACTTATGAGCCATAAAATTCCGGCCGCCTCATAAGTCCGACGCCGAAAAAAACCGAAGCGTATACGAGGCGTTGGACCTATGGAGGCGTCGGATCTATGAGGCGTCGGACTTATGAGGCGTCGGATCTATGAGGCGTCGGACTTATGGGCCTTTATTTGGTTGGGGGATGCGATTTTGTCGGACTTATGAGGAGTGGGACTTATGAGCGGACCCTCGCTCGACAATGAGGAGGAGCAGCACGGCTGACCGTCGGGTGGAAATTGTGTCAATAACGGAGGAGTGAGTTGCCGAGGGCAAGCACTGCTTTGCAAAATCTTCCTGCCAAACTGCACCAAAAGTGCAGTATTAATGGCTTAGGGAGACAAAAGGGCAATATTGCAGCTCTTGAAAAACACGCCTTTCCAGAGTTTCCGGCAGCCCATACCAGACGTGTCGCTGTGAGCGGTCGCAAGATACTGTGGGAAAGCGAATGGCTAGCGCCCCGTGGGGGAATATGTACAAGCGACGCTTCAGTACGACCAAACGAGCACAATTTTGTCAGTTTTTGGGTATAAGCCATGGAATTTGGAAATACATGTCAGCATTTTTGTGAGTCGCAAAACCTTGTTTTCTTTGATCAGTCCTATCAAGTTTTCACTTGCGATTAAATGCATGGTCACTGACCAACCCAATGCATGCTTTGAATCCACTGAAACTTCAAGAATTTTTTTTTCAAGCTTTTAAAATTGCTCTTATGATTCTCGTATTTCTCATATTCTGTGCATTAGGCCTATGTGAATGATGATTGATTAATTTTGGAAATAATTGATTAAACACATTCATGTAGTTGAAAGTTTGACTCACTGCCCCGTAATTAGGTTTGTGCATAAATTATACCAGTTGTTTGTCATTCATACCAAGAATGTAATGCAAATGTCAAAATTATTAATATAATTTTTTGCATTTCATTTATAGCATTTACACCTGCAGTTCCACAAGTATCTCAAATGTACTGAAAATATAACTGAACAAATATTACATGAAGCACTGTCATGGTAAAATAATATTTATTGATTCAAATACAAAAAGAGCTCTGCGTACATTTTTGAATAATACATGCAATGACAAAAGCCTGCCATTTTTCAGTTTCACTTTTTGTGTACAAAACTATTTTAAATAATATTACCCTTAATATTCAAACAGCATAATTACAGTTACATAATATTTAACCCGGAAAGGCCTATATTTGAGAGGATACAATACTCCCTAAGATTTGACTAGGAAAAAAATGGCAAACTGGTATCGGCTGACTTAAGTCAGCTTGATGCAAATTCGAAAGTTTTCTCGTCAAAATTTCACTAGGGTTTTGTCTTCTTTTTTTCAGAGTGTAGGGGCCCTAGGGGTTACAGTATACAAATGATTTTTCAGTGATATGGGGAAACAATCAAACATTTCATTGAATCATTTCAATCTAAATGTGAGTTGCCGCTTACTCAAAAAATAAAAGACAAAAATGTTATTAATTGGAATAACTGAATGGACACCAGTTTTAAGTCTGTACAAAAATTTTAAAAAAATACGAGTAAACTCATGGAATATGCTATACTTTTTCTTGACATAATTATCCATAGTAAAATTAAAGCCAAGAATAATTACAGTTAGATATTCTTGTACTTCTTCTGACTATCCACTAAAAAACCCCCCAAAATATCGAGGATAAAGTCGCATCCATTTAAATTGCATTACATATACAAAAGGCATGTACATCTCACTTGCTTCACTTGTACACATTACATTACAAAGTTATTTAAATTACAAAGTTAGTTTTGTAACAAAATCCAATTTGCTGTTTTATGAGTTTTGTGGTCCCGTGATTCACTTTTCACAAAAAAATGTTTGTTACGTTCTTGGTGGTAATACTTTGTACCAATGTTTAAACCTTTAAAAACATAAATCATAAGAAACTAACCTATTTAAAGGACACTTTACGAGTGTTGGTCAACTTTGTATAGCTGCACATTCACGAACGTAGATTTTCAAAACTACATGCACCACATTATATTGATAACGTCAAAACAGCAAAAATCTACACAAAGAAAATTGTAATTACAACAAAGGAATACACAATGCTACTTAACAACGATATTCTTCAATAAAAAAAAAAAAAAGAATCTATAAACTCTTCATGCACAACAATCTACATTCTTTAATTTTCTTCTTTCAAGTTATAGAAAGTCTGGAATAGTGTTGTTTTATTTTATGTACAAATATTTTCGTTTTTTTATTTCAAGGGGTGATGGTTATTTGCTAATTTGTTATAAAATATACTTTTCCTCTGGTGACTTTTAACTATTAAAATGAAGTGAAGGCCTATAGGAAAATAATTGAAAAATAGCACCCTGCCTTATTGGAAGAACCACTGTATATTTGAATTTCGTTTCTACAAGAACCACTCGGTTTCATTACGGGAAAATTACATTCTTGTTCTATCTTCTTTTGCTCAAACCAATGACTGTATTTGATCATACAAATCAAATAATTTGAAAGTTAAATAATACATGTACCTCAAGCTACATTGAAGTCAAAAGTCTACCAATCAAAGTGCAATCAAGCGTAAGTCACGATCATCAATTATTTCACACCAGATTGTTACTGGTAAGTCACATGACTTGTAACTCTTCAATTGTAAAATGTGAATAACATTGTATAAAACTCCCAAAAAATGTTTAAAAAAAGATTGGCAACAATGCCGACTGCAAAATTCCCATCCTAAAATACACAAAGGAGTAACAAATAAAGTCATGACAAATCTAATTGTCAAATACTGTCTATTAAAAAACCCTGTCAAAACAAACTCTGTGAAAAAAAAGGTGTGGACCTTCATTGTCATTGCAAAGCTTAAAAACCACAAATTGTAGGCTATTATCATAAACAAACTAGCTCAATACTGACAAACAAATGCCTCATTAATTACCATGCCATTATAATGTTGTCGTCTAACAACGGTTACTTTTTTGCATATTTTCTTCCAGACGAAAGAAGGGTACAAATTTCTCAAGGAAAAATGGACCAATAAATAAATGAATATTTCTTCCAAAATCTACGTTGGAATCTATATACACAATCAAGCAATAAAGATAGACAATAAAAATACTTAATTCTTATTGTGAAACTTCCTCTCATATTACGAGTACTGGAATACTTAAGTTGTTCACTTTCCTGTATGCCAACAAAGGATAACGAAAATCTAAGACAAACGCATATGAAGCAATACAAGGTTTTTAATTTAAACAAGACAATAGGTATTAGGTCCATTTCCTTTATTTTTATTTTTTTTAAATATAAACTAGCCTTTTCTACTTTAATTATATTAACATGTAATCGGTTTGAATTTGTAATGCTCTTTAGCATGCATCTTCTATGCTAACATGGACTTTCATTCATGATTTCCCCCCCCCCAAAAAGGTTTTAAAACCTTTTAATGTTGGAAATGTTTACAAATACAAAATTATAGGTATTTACAAAAATAAACCTGCTCATAATATTAATCAACGAGTCAGGGTGGCTTTTGCATGCATAGATATTTTTTTGTGAACAAAACAAATTTCTAAAAACAAATTTCTAAAAGCGGAATCAGGAAGTACAGGAATGCAGAATAATACAAGGAATGATAAACACCAAGCTTGTATGTTTTCTACCAAATATGGAAGCAACTGTACAAATTTGCTGAAAGCTAGAAAGAGAATTTGGAAATTTAGACTGTTATCAACAAAAATGGATTGAAAATAACATACAGGATAAAAACATGGGCGAATGCTTGATTTATCATTCTTGGTAAGTCTTGTATTTCAAAATGAGGCATTTTTCTCGCAAAATCAAAATGTGACTTTACTTTATTTTTAAATTTTTTTTGCAAACATGATTCCAACTCTCCATGGAATATATTCGCACTAGAATATAAACTCGTTCAATTCACAGTCAGAAATTCTCAAAGTTGACAGGGAAGTTTATTCCCAATGTGGAGTAAGCAAGAAAAAGCAAGAATATAAAAGGTAAGTAGAGTCACTTGTTTTTTTGTGTGAATTTTTTTCTTAGCTGAATTGCCCAAAATAGGGTGAATAACAATTAACATTTAGAAGTTTTAGCTCAGCCACAACGATGCATTTTGAAGTGAAAAAACAACAGAGAAAACGTGTGCAAACTTTGTTGAGTCTCATGTTTGGATTTCGTTGTTAACATATGAAAACAGAGTGTGCACTCAGGCACACCTGGATTGTTTTCTTCCGAACAGTAACATTTCAGGCGAAGTAATTTCACAAATCTAATTTTGTACCATGCTTATCTTCAAGGTATTTCTCATTAAATCGGTAGGTTTGTTTACAGACAATTGCCAATATTCCTCCCGGGGTGTGCATTTACGGGTACCACCGGAATCGGGTACCCAATTGAAAAAAAACCGGGTATCTGGGTACCCGTTAAAGAAACCCAAACCCCAAAGTTTAATTCTTGGAAGTTGTTATATACAGATTGTTCATATTTGGTCCGCATAATACTACCACATCGATGTGTCAATACAGCAAGGTACAAATCGGTACAGTGAGCTCACTACATGTAGCTTTTACGGGGGTTGTCAGTTTGAAAATTCTCCACAAACGACATTCACAACCTTTCTTTTTCATTGTCGTTTTCATTGTTACCAAGTAATATGTAAAGTTGGTTAGGGGTACCCGATCCCATAATCTGGAACCGGTTCCTGACATCAGCGGCCGGGTTCTTGGATACCCAGTTCTGATGCACAGCCATAGTTCCTACATAGTGCCTCTAAACTTGGTAATTTCAAACTTTCACAATCACACCTTGCCGATTAGAAGACTAAAAGTCAAAAGTACGTGGAATGGTTTCAAGTCGAACGATACCGAATATGAGGATAGTAACATTGAAGTTTGGGTACTTATATTCTTTGACAATATTCACCAAGATACCAGGCATTAAAAAAAGTGATCTAGGAAGATTTGGGTTTTAGTCAGTCATATATTAAAGTTAAGAAAACCGATGATTAAAGTCCTATAGGAATGTGTTTAATGTATCAGACGGTGATGCAAGCTTACACTTCAAAAGATATATAAAAAGATACAGCAATTTTTTTTCTTTTTCTTTTCTGGTAAATTCCTTTCTGTATTCCATTTCTTCATGTTAACAGATGCAAGATAAGTTTTTCGCAAATCGAAACCTCTCCAAAAATAAACCTCATACTTTATTAATTTATAATTTAGTAAAAACAGACCACATTATCACAATTCACAAGGCAAGGAGTTAAAAAATATCAGAATCTGGAAATATCACTTGGAATTGCATAGCCGGGATCAAAGAAGCCTACATTGTACATCCTAATACGTACAAAAATATCAACGGGAATGGACTTCGACCATTCATAGTCCTTAACACTTCTACATCAGTATTGGAATTACATCAACAACTGGCCCTTTCTGGATAATGCACGATGAATTTTTTTTCTCCATTTCTGTTCTTTTGTCTATATAAGTTTGTTTTAAAAACAGGCACTTTTTGCATTTGTGCCCCGACTAACTTGGAAAAGTCACATAACAACATGCTACATTACAGGTTTGATATAATAAGGGAATAATTTAATTAAGTGCTTGGGAGGTCTTGAACACTATGTTTAAGACTGGTTGGAGTCTGGAATGCTGATAATTACCCGAGGAGAACCATTCATAAAGACATTTTCGGTCAAAAAATCAAAACTTTTCGGTCCACAAGTCAAAAACTAAAAAAAAAATTTGTTGAACAATTTAACTTTCTGTTTTTCGAAACACCCCTCTTGCTAGACACGTATAATGGAAAGTCCAGCTCGCGAGTAAGACGTAAACATCTTCTTTTATGGAGATTGTAGCTTCACCGTACCTTATTCCAGAAAACACTGTTTTTAGGTCTCAAAACAAATATTTCAAAGAACTTTTTTCTACTACTACTTTTTAAGCAACTATCCAACGGTATAGATTTTTACAGATATGTACAAATAAACTTAATCACAGAATATTTGTTCCGTATTAAACATTACTAACAAAAACAACTATTTCCTTGACAGTTTCGCCATGTGGCCTACCAACAATAAAATGACTCTGCCTAGAGCTAGAGGGCGCTGTGCTGATCTGGGTCTTCCATGTCACCGTCATCACTACTCTTGGAAAGTACGGAGTCACGCTTCCCAGCATGACTTGGTACTTCCAGTAAGGGCTCAACTTTGACCTCTAGGGATTGCTTGGGTTCAAACTTGGTGGTTACCGGGTCCATGGACCTGGACCGAGGTTTGCTTGCAACGGCTGCAATATATATACAGTGAAGACAAATTTAGTTTGATGGAATTTTTTATTTTCAGATGTGGTTTATGTTATTTTCAAGTTTTACACTGAAAATACATTTTTGTTTTACACATTGTTTTTTTTTCTTCTAGCAATACAAAAGTGGTATAGGCTATCAGCTTCGGTCCAAAAATTGGGCCGCCGGTAATTTTGACAGTGACTTTTGAAAGTGTACTCTAAATGCAATGCGCAAGTAGAACATACGCAAACAACTTAAGCACATCATGACGATTCAAAAACTTAACGGCAAAAATCATCTGCAGCAGATACGAGCGCGTATTTACGCTGTTTGCGAAGAGCAAAATGAAACGCTCATTTGCTGATCGTGTGTTTCGTTTTTTTGGGCGTATTGGCTTCGATAACGCACCTGTATACTATTCAAACGCAGATACGCAAGTGGCCATACAAAAGCTGTACAAATTTTTCCGTTTTTCATAGTTTTGTGCACAAACATGGATGCGCCCAGCGGGCATCATTTTGTACATCGAGCTAGGGCAATAGTAATTCAATATAGCGCTAAGACTAAACGAGACAGACTATTGACCAGCTGGGTCGTGAATATACAAGACTTATGAGATCACTTCATTTAGGATCAGTTCTTACTTGGTGGGGGCTTGTATAGGGAGGAGGCCTTTTGCGGTGGCTTCTCCTGTGTCGAATCCAAAGGCTTGGAGTCCGGGCTCGATGAAGGAAGCGTCACATGGACAGCAGGTGCGCTAGCCTTCCGTAAATTTTGATCTTGTGTCACAGAATGAATGCAAACATAAAAAGACAACATTAATTTTTGACTTTATACACCATGAACGGGAGAGTGTTAAAATAAAAGTGTTTTTGAATACAAGTGTTTTTAATACAGGATTTTTGGTTGCTTGAAGCTTTGAAAGGTTTGCAACTGACTTCAAAACTTAAAATCATCTTGCCAAGCAGGGTCACTACAGTGCGCTTTGTAAGTGCACAAGTGACATCTTTAAAATGTAGTGACAGCATGAACAACAAGAGATGACTAAATGAGACTTTCATATCCGCAATCAAGAGAAATTTTCAATCAACTCACTTTCAGATTTGTTGATGGAAATGGGCCGCTTTCCAGGTCGTGGTTTAGGTAAAGGTGACACTGAGGGTCCACTGGGCTTTGGAGCACCTGCTTCCATGTGTTTGTCTTCAGCGATAGAGGTCGGTCTTGAAGCTGGTCTGGAGGCATCCGTTCCATTAGGTTTCTTCTCAGGACTCTCCGGCCGATCCTCGACCTTCCCTTTCGCCTCAGTGGAGTTCCTTTTCAGGCTAGAGGGTTTAAGACCTGTCTCTGATTTCAACGGCATCTCTGGCGTGATCGGAGGCGAGGCGGGGCTCTTCTCCAAAGGCGAATCAATCTTTGCGGAGAGTGGTCGTTTCTTGATCGCTGGCTTCTCCTTCTCTATTTTCGGCTTCTCGTTCTCCGCTGCCTTGGTGGATTTGGCGGGTTCCGACAGGGTTTTGGTGACATCCTCTTTGGGAGTCTGTCGGAGGACTTTAGACTCACTTGACTCTGGAGGCAGCTGATTGGAAGGCGCCTTCTCAAGGGGCGACTTCCTGGGGCTCTCCAATGGAGACTTGACCCCCCTGGGTGACACCAATGGCTTCACAGCAGAAACCTTGGGTGCTGACGTTGGTGATTTGACTCCACCACTCGGAGAGGTAGGTCCCGGAGCGGTTGCCTTGGGAAGCGGAAGCTTCAGGCTTGGCACGGGTTTCTCAGGAGAGCTTGGAGCTACTGGAGCTGCGTCTGGTTTTTCTTTGGTTTGGTCCTCAACCTTCGGGGCCTGACTGTCCAGTAATTCCTGCAGGCGAGAAGGATGTCAAACAGTGATAATTGGAAGAGCCCAGTGTGTTTTCCTGCTGGGAAACACAGCGCTTAATGAATACCAGCTGTCTGGATGTCCTAGCTGGCCTGCTATTTCTGCATTCCAGACGAATCCGAAATTAAATAGCCTACATTAAATAATAGCCAATATGCAGGGACCTGCTGGACATGCAACACGTTACGCAAATGTACGTGCCCACCATGCTAAGCTTCGAAGCTTGCTAAAGATTATAGTGTATATCTAGAAACCAAAAGAAAAGTGCTCGAGTAAAAAAGGCATATGGTCACCAATGATTCAGTAGTGGCCCCAACAGTGCCTAGTAAATATGTACCAAATGTCACAAAAATAAATTGTACATTGAATAGGAAGGTAACTGGAGTTTTAAAGAAAGGTGAACTTTGCTTTAGGTAAAAAAAGAAAGCTGAGGGAAAAGATTATGGTATACAAATATAACATGGTCTGAGGGTGGATAGTCGATATTTGCTCCCCGAGGTATTGGAAAATGAACAAACTAGTTCCAGAGGTGAACAGACGTGAATGAAAAAACAGGAAACTTGTGTAAAAACAGAAAAAAGATTTGGCAAAGAAGCCCAAAACAGGCTCAAAATAAATAAAAACGCGGAAATTCGGGCACCAAAAAAACAAAAAACAGGACTTCCTGTTTAAACAGGAAGATTCTCATGCCTGATTCACTAAAGGCATTCCTGTGTCACCCCATATCCCCTGTTTCTTGTGACTGACTTGTGAATTGACTTGTTCATGGTATATGACTACAACTCGGCCTCACGCTCACCCTGCTTTTACGGTTGGAAGCCTTGAGTTTCATCTCCATGAGCATGTTGGCCCCACCCAGCATCTGGGCACCAGCCAGGCCAGGCTTCCTCATCTCAGGCACGGGCTTCTTCACTTCCTCTTTCTTGTCTTCCTCCTTCGCTTCTTCAGTCTTGGCCTCCTCCTCTTTAGTATCTGCTTCTTTCTCCTCCTGCTTGTCATCAGTTTCCTTCTGAGCACTGTCTTCAGCTGCCTTGTTGCCGTCTTCTGGAACGGTCTCCTCATCCTTACTGGGAGCCTCTTCGATGACTTTCTCCGGTTCCTCCTTGGTCTTGTTAACCTTGGCCTCTGGGGTTGCTTCTGGGGCCGGGGTTTCAGCTGCCGCCTCTGGGGTTTCAGCCTCAGGCTCCGGCTTCTTGGCTGGCGTGGTGGCAGTCTTGAGAGACCGCTGGGTTGGCAAGCGTAGTGCTTTCTTCTCAACCACCTTGGGTTGTGGCTCTTTCTCTGGTATCTTGATTTCTACAAGGGAAAAAAATTGTAAAAAAAATATTAGAAGTCCATATATCCAGCATTAGATTAAAGTTTTCAGACGGTAAATAAAAGGAGAGTATTTGTAATGCATCAGTGATAAGCAACAACATTGTTCATTTTTCAAAACCACAAACACAAAATACACACATCAACGTGAGGATTCAACTTTCTTTTCTTTCTTTTGGAACAGCCCTTTCTTCTTGGGCTTGAGTTCAGGGGATCCGGAAAACCCATGTGCTTGGCTGGTATTAAACACTATGTTTAAGACTGGTTGGAGTCTGGATGCTGATAATGACCCTCGCTGATCAGCATCCAGACTCCAATCGGTCTTAAACATATAGTGTTAAAAACCAGCCAAGCACGCATTTATACCCTTATTAATCATCAGCCAAACACAAACAACAAGCACAGGCCATTTCAAGTTTCCTCTGCCCTACCCTCTTTAGGAACAGCAGGTTCTGACACCTTGGGAGCTACATGAGGCTGGCTGTCCTGCCTTGTGTCTGCCGCAGCTGGATGCTCCACTTCATCTGAACTTGGCAGGGAGTGCTTCTTCTTGAACATCCCCTTGAACCCCCCAAACCTACAAGCAAGAGAAAAAACAAAGGTGTTTTACTCAGTGGGTACTGACTCTTCCTCCTCTCCTGCAAGCCGAGGAGAGGAGGAAGAGTCAGTGGGAAGAAAGGAGGACCCGCAGGCGGCAGAGGCTTCAGGCAGCTCCCGTCGCCACCACCACCAACTACACCTGCAGCAAATGCCAAAGGATCTGTGGCTCCCGCATTGGGATCTACAGCCACAGCAGGCGCTGTGCAAGTACAACGGACTGACCAAGGCACAGATACTCCATTGTCTTCCGAGACAGACGGATGCCAACAACAACCCACGGTCATAAGCTTCCGTCTAAAAAACAAGCCCCAAAAAGGTTACACTTTTTTCTTTTCTTTTTAGATCCAACCTTTGTTGGTCTTTTACTTGGAGTCACAAAGTTTGTGCAGAGAGTGCTGTTACTGAGAGCAACAAACCAACCGAGTTTCACTGATAACACTGAAGCAAGAGGGGAAAAGTGTAAGTTAAAGGGAAGATACAACATTTGCAAACATCAAAAACAAAATGATCAAATAATAACAAAATACTTTACTGGACTGTTTAGAGATTGACAGTCTAAAGCATCCTGTAAAATCATGGCTCCAGGTGTGCTGACATTTTCAAGTAAAGTGTTTTTTTTTTTTTTTAAAACAACTCCTGATTTTTCATATTTAGTTATTCTGCATTTTCTTTGCAATTGATTACAGACCTGTGAGGGGGTACAAGCCTGCTAGACTGATTCTCAGACATTACAATTCCCCAAAGTCTATAAATTGCTCGGTTTTGTATTAAGTGAGGTCTGGGATACAGACAACAAGAACATGATGGCTTTCTATTTTTTTTTCAGCATTCACGAACCCAAAACGTAAAACAAGTCAGTGTAACAATATTTTGTATAACAACCTAATCCTGCAAATCCAGTTATTTCTGAAAGTTACAGCAAAAGCAAATGTTGTATATTAACAGCTGGCATTTCACATTGATAAAAATGGATGGTTCCATGAGATTTTTGCAGGATTTTGTACATGGAGGGTATATTATTTTTACGATCTAACGTCAGAGTAACTCAACTACAGGTATATTTTTGTTTGCAAAAAAAACCCTGTCCTTTACAATATATCAGTGATATACATGTACTTGTGGCAATATAAAGCTAAGATATAGGTTATTTTTTACCAAGACTTACTTCTTTGTCTTTACATGCTCCTCTTTCTTGGGTTTCTCATCAACTTTCTTGTCTTTCTTTTGGAACAGCCCTTTCCTCTTGGGTTTGAGTTCAGGGGATCCGATGTTGTTTCTGCAAGCATGGCAACAAAATATGAACCAAGTTTTCGTGGAAAGCAGTGATATGGCTGGTTGGGCTTTGCCGTTAAAAAGTATGGCCAGCCCGGACCTTTGGGCCAAAAATCTTCACATCGTCAACTCTGAAAAATCTCACAGTAGAGCTGCTGTTACTTAGTGGGCTCTGTTCGCCAACAAAAGAGGGCGTGTTTTTACCACTTTTGAGAGCCGTGTGGATGGGACACCCAGCACGTGCGCACTGTGTTTGTGCGCGAAGTATGCATGACTTCCTGAATGTACCAAAGCTATTAGCCCTAGCGTCTTAGCATGAGCGTCAGGCGTCGTCGAATTTAACTTGCGATGGTCTCCCAGACTAATTCCCCCAATAACTTTGGATCGTTCGAAATACGCAGTGGATGGACCAGGAACCAGTATAGGTCTCCCCCACCTCTCCTTTTCTGCCCGTTGAAAGGGTACTTGTGCACGTAGCCCATAAAGCCAGGCTTCCAAGCAGCCAGTATTGGGATTACAGGAGCCCCCGGGTTCCCATCTTTTCCTGGGCCAGGCTGTTCAAAGGCCAAGCCTGGCCAGCCTTTTTATTCCCTCCCATTAGAGTGCAGTTGTTTACAGTGTAGGCTCTCTTAAATGACGTCACGTCCTACAAATTGCCCTGTGCATCAGCATTTGGTGTCAAATTTTCAGGACGTGCATCGGCTGCACTGTATTTCAAAGAAATTTCAAGCAACATGCGCGCGTATAGAACATTTTGCACACATGCACCCGATGGCGTTGAATATGCAGATGGGCAATTCCACGGTTACTCACGTTACATTTTTGATGTACTTTTGAGTTTCCTTGGGCTGTAATTACCTTACTGAAAAGGTTTAATAACTATTATCCCCATGGTAGATAGAGTAGACCTAGACTTACCTAAGCACCAAAGATGACATTCAGAAAAATGTGTTATGTATGATAAACAAGACACACAAAATTATTCACGTTATGTAACGTGAGTAACTGATTTTGTGCGTCTTGTTTATCATACACAACATATTTTTCTGGATGTCATTTTTGGTGCTTAGGTAGGTCTAGGTCTACTCTATCTACCATGGGGATAACAGTTATTAAACCTTTTCAGTAAGGTAAATACAGCCCAAGGAAACTCAAAAGTACATCAAAAATGTAACGTGAGTAACCGTGGAATTGCCCAGTTGCAATTTGCCTACGAAGGTAGTGTCCTATGAGAGAGATTTATTGGTTCTTCACTAAAAAAAAAAGTAACTTGAAAAGCAAGTACAATTTTGAAGAGTACACAGCATTCACCAACAATGAATTTGGTAAGATGTCGAATAATTGATCATTCAGATTTCGATGCTCAAATGTTTTGGAGTTTAAATCATGAAACCCAAAATGTATGATGTAAAAACACATCTGGGAAAAACAAAGGAAAAATAGAACACAGTCTTCCAACTCACACAGTGGGAGCAACCGAGCTGACAGTTTTAGCGGGCTTCAAGTCGTTGAAGCCGGTCGAGAAGAAGTCACTGATGCCCGTATCCACAGGAGGGGCACTGTTGGCGTTGGTAATGCTGGGGGTAGGCTTCTGCACCGGATTGGCCGGTCGGGTCGGGCGTTGCCGCGGAGGCTTGACACGATTCTTCCTCACGTCAGTGAGTGTCTGCGTCGAGGCGACCTCATCTAGGGCCTTCGTGTCAGCCGCTGCTTTCTTAGCGGTCTTCTTGTCAACTTTAGGGACAGGGGACTTGGGCTTGGTGGGGCTTGGGGGAGGTTTGGAGATGGCTGCGCCGTCCGGGCTGTCATTCTCGAGCTTGTCACCGCCAGAATCTGTCTCCTCTACCTCGGCCAGAGTGAGTTCAAAATCTGCGACAAGAAGTCAAGGTCGGGGAATTTTAACATGCAAATCCATGGGGCAACATGTTAGTAAAGAAAAGGAGTGCCTGTTCTTGCAATCCACAACAGCATGACTCTTGCTAACTGCACAGTAAAATGAGGAAAACAGTTAAAAATTTAAGACTGATCTCAGCAAACTATGAACCAGTCTCACAATATTTTACAACTGAATTGCAAAAAGTTTCGAGAATTCAACTCAGATGATGTCACTTTTGTGGTCATGAAGATGTAAATTTCATGGAAATCAATTTATAAAAAAAAAATCACAAGAAAAATATGCAGATAATAACGAATCGGCCAACCAGATGGTCTTTCAAGGTTTTATACCTTTCATTATCACAGAGCGAGGGCGCACTTTGCTCATTTTCCTCTGCAGACCGGCCTCTGACTCCTGACGAAAACAAACAATGCAACAAATTAGAAACAGAATTCTCAATGACCTTAGTAACAACATACCATTTAAAACTGGACTATAAAAAGCTTCAAAAAGAATTCTAACAGTTACAAAAAAAAAGGAAAAGAAAAGGGACAACCATTAGTCTATTAGTTATCAATGCCAATTTGATGAGGAGCAGCACCCAAGGGTCAAATTCCATGTGATACCAGTTACAGATTAGGGATTCCACAATTTGTCTTTAAGCAAACTTGAATCCTGGATCCTGATTGGTCACATCATGGCGGTAAAGCCTGGTATTATGCTAGTCTTAGTCCAAGCTTGGATGTAATTTTTAGTCCCCTAATGCAGCCGCTTTGCCAATCCATCTCGAGAACTTTGGCAGCGCTGTCCAGGACATGTCGAGCATTCCTCAACCGCATGCATTAGCTTGAATACAGCACCCCTGAGGTATGATCTGAATTTTCTGGGTAGCGCTGCCGAAATTCCCACGACTGGATTGGTTCATCCCGTTGTTAGCGACCTCTACTGTCGCGGCTGCTTAAGCACACTTGTCGGGGACCAGCTGTATGAGGGAGGAACAACCAGATCTTGGATCAAGGCTAGTATTATCCCATAATTCACAGTCTATATTGCATGGAATGCATCAGATTTCCTTCCCTAAGCTGGGTGCTTTTTCCTATTTGGACAACCACTGAAACATCACCACAGCATACAGGTTACATCTCTACTGAGCGTCAAGTTTGCTTGAAGCCAATCGTGTGTTATCCCACTTGCACTCGCGGAACAAGAAAAATGAGGTGTGTCTGTGTTCCACATGCCGCTCAGTCTCCGGCCTTTTAGAATATTGACACATCTTTGTTCTCTGTTCCACTTATGCTTGGGTATCCGGTGTTGAATTATATCTATCAGTTGTTAAAGAAGCTCACAAGCATGCAGCATACACAACCAATGACAACTGGTGCTATTGCCTCCAATGTCAACTTTCAAGACATTTACAGAATTTTTTTCAAGTGACTACACTTTACATGCTGAATACACCCATCAAGCAAAACCTTGGTGAGGATTGACGAATACCCCCCCCCCCCTTTATAATGTTCAAACAGCACACTCTGTCGGACTATAACATTAAAGAGGAAGGGCACACTATCTGATAGAATACCAGGAATATAAGTGGACTTCAAAAAAAGATAATACGAAAAAAATTACATGGTTATGACGCAAACCTTACGAACATTATCATTTCAGGAAATGATATTTGTCCTAGGCAAAGGATGAGTACCTTCTCTGATATCTCTCACATACAAAACATATACAATGGAACCCTGATAAGAAGAGCACTGTTAATACAACATCCTGCTTATAACAAGGAAAACGTTAGGCCCCAAGTCTTTGTTTTTTTTTGTTTTTCTTTGTTTTCTATTACTGATAATACAAGGCACCTGTTATAACAAAGTAATTTTTAAAGTCCCAAGGACCTTGTTACAAAGGTGTTCGATTGTAAACACATAGTAATGAGTATTTAGACAGACAACAATATTAAAGAATTTTCAACTTGGATGAGTAATACTCGAATGAATATAAAGCTTGAGAAAGCTTGAAACAAAAGGCTTGATTCTGGCAAATACTGACAGATAGACAACCAGTAGTGGACAAAGGAGTGCCATCCCATGTATGGAGGAGTATGAGCACATGGACAAACATACAAACAACTGTGGACAAACAGACAACCAATGAGGTGTTTAATACAACAATGCCTTCTGGGAAGCATGTATGAAGATTCATTTCTGGATCTGAAATTAGTAAAATTAACAGTGATGAGCGAGCAAAGTAAAATGCGAGTCGATAGGAAATGAACTATTTTACCAAAACTACGAGTGAGTTTTAATTGTTAAAAGAAAAGTTGTTTTCAGAATTGGTCACAATCCTGGATTTGTTTTAAAAAAATATATATTAACACATCATCTTACAATGGACAATTCTATCACATTTTGTAACACTTACAAAAAATGTTTTAAAGCAATTGTCACAGTCCCCGCCTTCACTCAAAAAATGGTGTATTTATCAATTTTCAAAATTCATATCTTCCTGCCTTAAAAGATTTTGTCTCCATAAGTACTATTAAGAAAGTGGCCCCTCCCTAAAATAAGGATACCTAAAAGCATGAAAAATTCTGTGTCACCAATTTGGTCCTCAATAGATTACTTTGTAGTCGACAGGTATAAGGAAAGGTCACGGTCATAGGGTAGCATTCAGTGCAACATTTCATTCAATATCAATTGTGCTCAAAATGAAATATCATAACACGTATAAGGTTATCCATGAAAACAAATGCGAGATAGCAAGGTCTTCCTCGGATATGCACATGCAAAAATGTCAATCCTTTCATATATAACAAATCCTCAAAAGTATGATGCATCAAGCAGCTAAGGCTAGGTTCACACATTCCCGATTTTTAAGCCGAATCGCTGCCAATACCAATTCTTGAGTAAATCAGGGATGGTTCTTGGCAGCCTCGGGATGATTCTGTTCGTTTGGTGAAAGATCGTTAAAGATTGGGAAGCGCCCCGACAAATTTGAACATGTTCAAATTTGTCGGGGTGATTCTGGAGCCAATTTCAATTCTTGGTTTTTTGTTTTTGTATATAACTACTTCGGGAATGTGTGAACCTAGCACAAGAACTTTTTTAATGTGTCACAGTTATTGTGCGCCATGTAAAATGAGTAGTTTGGCCTCTGTGCGAAAGAACATACGTCAATTTAATAGCTCAGGTTACTGACACAAAAACTTTGACCTGTCCAAGCGTTAGCCCAGTGTTCTTGATGCCAGCTTGCCCAAACCAATTCGGTATCTTGCGAATAAGTTTGCGAAAATACTTAAAGCTGATAGCTCAGTACTAGAAGCTGATAGCTCAGTTATACTATACGTTTTGAGAAAACGGAAAAAACATATGCACAGATTTCTGGTCTCCTAGGTGGATTCCATTGCACTCTGCTTTCAATCCAAAATTTGTCTTTTCATATTTTGAATTGCACTCTCCCCGTGTACAACCCCTACATCAGCACTCAGATGTGATTCTCAGTGGTAGATCCAGCATTTACGGAAGGGGGGGGGGTGCCCAAAATGGAGGAGAAACCCGAAAATACAAGCGGGACGTGTATTTTCTCATGTGGGTGAAAATTTCTGTCTTTAAATAACCAGTTGACAAGACAAGACGCATCTCCTTAGCAAATTGTGAAAAATGTAGGGGAGGGGGCATGCGCCGTCTGTGCCCCCTCCAGTTTGCGTATGTGATGTCCAGATCCCAGTGATGGGTAGTTTTCACAGTATTCAACAAATATCTTCGAATTATCGTCACTTTTTCAAAACACCTTCAATAATTGTTTTCTTTCAAACAATAGCATTTCAGACAAAAACAAAATTCACAGGGTATTTGGTACCAGTCCTATCTTTACTTTGAGCACGGTTTTCTCATTAAATTTGTAAATGAAAATTCGTTTTGGGGTTAGCACCAATGATTTTTACACGCCTTTAACCATAAATGTTAAACTACTATACTCTTAGAAAAAGACACACAGCTACCTTAAACAAATTTGGTATTTACTTTCAAGGAAGTTGACAAGATATGAGAGGAATCTACCATTACCTTTTGAATTTTTTTAGATTGAGGAGAAATGTTAGAGATTATGAAATTGTTACAGTGCCGGCGATATGCCATTGGATAAATCTGCTCAGCCGAAAAGAACTGCTAAGCAAAATAATAGATTCAGATGCGCTGTTGAACATGTTCCTCAATGAAGCACGACAACTCTCTGCAAAACAGGCTGGATGGTTAAAACAAAAACCTTCTTGGCCGATTGAAGAAATAAACAAACACATTTTCTTAACCCTCCGAGCAGCGAAGTGGTGATTTCAATCTCCACATTTTCCAAATATGGGCATAATGTTTTTTTCAATGGGCCAATAAGGCCAAGATTCCATGTAATCATCACCCCTACTATACACCACAAGCCTGTAGAATCCCATTGGCCAGATCCTACCCACTCCCGAGTAAGGAGTGTTGAAAGACAGAAGCCAAGATAGCGCCCGATGCCTTTGTGCAGTAATGGGAGATCTTAGTGGCCAACCCCTAAGTGCTGCCGATCCCTTTGTGTCAACCCCTCGTGCCGCCAGGAGCCCAGACAGATTGTAAACAATCCCTGGCCATGTGTGCCCTATATCTTGTGCATGTACAGGCATGCCAGGATTATTGAATTATAAATACATGTGGTGATAAAATGCACGGTGTGATTTTTTTTGATAAGCTGCTCGGAGGGTTAAACAATATAAGTCGGGTGAGTTTTCTGGCAGGAGAGTTAGTAATACTAGCTTCATGCATGCTGGAGTGTGCACTGTTTCAATGGGCAGGGTTTGAGTCCACAGGCAATTGCAGCTGAACCAAAAAAAAAAGGAAAGAGGCAACAACGAAGGAAGTGTGAGAGTGTGTGAGAGAGACACGGAGGTCCTGGTGTTCAGGACTTGGACCTGCCTTGAAGCGCACTGACTCACTACGGCCGATCTCTCGTTTCTGGTAGCGGGATGCTCTCTGGTTGTCAAGCCGACTCGTAGGCGAGGTTGCCTCCGGACTCTGTTGGGATGGGGGGGGGGGTTAAGTGCCAGCTTATCAGTCAAAGCTTGGCTTGCATTTTTTTTTCATAAACTAAAACAACCCCTTTATCAGTATGGAGTCAACTGCTTTTAAGTCCAAATCAACAAGTCTAAAAGTAACAATGCTTTGTTTCCTCAGTCCAAATCAACAAGTCTAAAAGTAACAATGCTTTGTTTCTCAATAGCCTAATTGTTAGTCAAAATGAAATGCTGCCAATTGTTTCATAAAAGGAACTCGTTTTTAAAAGCTTTTTTTTTCATTTCAATTAAAAATGAATGCAATAAACCATAAGCTCTTTATATATATATATACATATGTCTATATTTGCGGTTTTTTTTCTCCAATATATATATTTTAGTGAAATGCAGTTAGCAAAATCTGTTTTCTTCTTATTTTAAACCACAGCCTAAATTACCAAACAATGTTTCTCAAAAAAAATAAACCATAATTCTCTATTAAATTAGGGCTACCCACAACTTGCTAATCAACCATTTTCTAGACACCCAATCCCCCCGCCCCGGAAAAAAAGGCATTAAATCTGTTGATCACTGCCGCATATATTCAAACAACAGCATTTGTTTCTACAGGACGCACATGAGCACATGATTTTTAAATGCAAATGATTATAAATATCCCGTATCAAACAGCAGGGAAAACCCCAGCAGGCTGTATCATGCAGATGATGGTTAGCTCTGTAACACCCAATTAATGCACCAAACCCTTTGAGTTCAATCAAACTGGGGGGAAGTCCTGCTTTGTTGCGGAAAATGTATCGAACTTTCATTTTAGGACTCATCTATTTAAACATCTGGGATCAGTTTTATCCACAGTTTGCCCAAAAAAATCTGATCTATATGTAAGTTGTTGGGTTCTGTTGGGTATGTTAGTTGTTGGGTTCTGTTGGGTTCTTAATATCGTCGCAATTACACTCAAAGCAGGAGGTCGTGGGTTCGAGTCCCACCCGAGTGATTTTTTCCAACTTTCACTCGGGAGGTAACACACTGAGTATACAGTGTTTAAAAAACGTCGGTGAAGGGCAAAACCTAATTTGATTTATATCACCCTGACGCAAAATTCCATCTTATAATAGTTTATGCGGTACCCGCTGCTATGTACATCAGATTCGAACCGGCCAACTGATCCCTTTAGCTCGGTGGTCGAGTGGTAAGACATCTGCACTAGAAAGCAGGAGGTCGTGGGTTCGAGTCCCACCCGAGTGATTTTTTCCAACTTTCACTCGGGAGGTAACACACTGAGTATACAGTGTTTAAATAACGTCGGTGAAGGGCAAAACCTAATTTGAATTACACTCAGGTCGCACAAAATCAGCGACTAGTTTGTTACCGATGGTCGTAGCTCAGGCGCAGCTTGATCCTGAAAAGTCAGTCGCCGACTGATCTGTATCATCGCAAGGTCGACCTGAGGACAGCTTTACACTGCTGGATGTCTGAGAATGTACATCATTAAATCAATGGAATGTGTTATCAATCAGGCCTTACCTTAGCTTCGTCATCTTTGTCTTTCTTCTTGTCTTCATCTTGTTTGTCCTCAGCGTCATTATCATTCATCTCCAAGCCGTTAGTCAGAATGGATCCTTTCCTCTCCCGATAGTCAACCAGCTGTACTGACTACAGAAAAAAGTCACCCCCCCAAAAAAAAATATAATTTTTTGAAAGGCATACAGGATCAATTGCTTTTCATGCATTTCGATCGTTTTCCAATAATACCATTAAAAATCCAACAAAGAACGTTCAAACCCTAACTTGTTGAAGTTTCAGCTCAGTCAATATTACGATTTTCAAGAAAACAAGGAAAATCACGTACATGTCTTAATTTCTCCTTAATCTATATGACAGCAAGCCAGATGGAATAAGTTCACGGAGTAATTAGTTCCAAAACGATCTTTAATCCAAGTATGCTTTTTGATACAAATTTGGTAGGTTACTTTTGGGATAAATGCAAATGATCCTATATGCTTTTAATGGCACTTCTCAAAGGGGAAAAGTTTTTTCTTCCCGGACTATTCTGTTGCCATTTTATAAAAAGACGCTACATGCAAAATCTAGTGCATCCTTTCTTGTTATGTAAATACCAACATGTACATATACTGTCCTTTTTATGTTTAGTATTTAGGCACTGTGTATGGATGCAGAGGAAATAAAGTAAAGTAAAAAGCAAAGTAATATTTGGGTATTTCGTGAGCTTTAATGGTAGAGTTGATCATTTGTAATTTGTGAAGTTTTTTTGCTTGAAGCAACAAAAGTGCTCAAATCTATAGATGGGTGCTTAACTAACTAACCTGATGAAGTTTTAGCTCTGTGAATGCTGTACATGCATATTCCGAGAAAAATAATATTCTAGGATCTTGTTTTTAATTCAACAATTGCCTAGTCATGTTTTGAATTGCGCCCGAAATCAGCATCCGGGACACAGGCGATTGCAGCTACGTGATTTCACGCGCTGAACCGATGAATAATATCAACCGCGCCCGCGTGTGCGTCGTGTCAATGCTTGCGCGCATCCATTCACGGATGCAACGAATTACAAAACCAAATACTAACGGAAATTTCCAAGGATGCGTCACTTGACACATCTTTGGAATTGGCCTTCCTTTATTGTTTTCTTCAAAATGACAGCAAGCCAGAAAGAATAATTTCACAGGGAGTTTAGTGCCATTACTGTCTTTAAACCAAGTAAGTGTTTCATCAATTATTTCGTCAGTTACTTTTTGAATACCTGTAAATGATTTATCTACCTTTAACAGGGTACAACTAAGAATCATTCAGCTGGTTGTTGTTGTTGTTTTATGCTGCACTGTCTACTGTCGGTTTATTTTTTCTGTGTTTTTTTTTAACTGGCCTACGGTGCTTTACTAGTAAAAAGCATAGGTTGCTTTGCGGGCAATTGATAAAAAAGGCAAGCTAATTGTATGAAATAACAAATTCTCAATTAAATTGTGTAAAGTTGAAAGAAATCCAACACTAGCAGATTGTGAGCTAATAACATGTACAATTGCATGCGGGCTTGTGCTGTGTTTTACACTTGTGCTGTGCTTTCTTGATGCCAGATCGAGAAAAGTTGCTGAAGTGGATGAGAAATTCTCCACGATTTTCACGAAATTTCCAAGGTCATTATATTTCTTTCACAACCATGATGGCCAATACCAACCCACCCATTATTAATTCACTTAATTTAACCCTCCCTCTCTGGCTGGCATTTTCAACACGACCAGCCCAGCTGTCAAAATACATCAAGTGACTTTTTTTAACAGTTGAGTGCTCCCTGCCTTCATAAAGCAGGATTGACTGGCTGTGATTGTTATGAAACATGATATAGCTATGCTTTGACTGTAGGCGATTGATAAGCCAGCTGCGCCTACCAGTCACCTGTATTTGTCTTTTGATGGAATTTGACTGTCGCAGTGCCTACAAGAAATATGATCCGACTGTTGGTGACTAGCCTGTATAAAAGGCATGGCAGGGGGGCAGGATTGATTTTTTTGACTGTCTGTGACTGTCCAAACAAAAGGCAGGTTTTAATAGCAAACTGTAACAGCTGCACTTACCAATTTCTGATAGCTCTCTGTCAGCTGCTCCATGATCTCATCAATGATAGTATCTGAGATGTGGCTGGCCATATTCAGATGGGCCTCTCTGTGTACGGCAAAGCAGAAGTACAGTATATAAAAGGGCTGGCAAGCACCGTTAACGCTAGAACACATGGATTATACTAGCCACAGCCAGATGGATAGCTAGGCTTATGTATGTACATGTATTACTTTGCCATGGCAGAGCTGGCACTCAGGCACTCCCTGTGACCTATGGGTTCTATGCAGGACAGATTCTGCAAGCTGCACTTTGACAGGTGAAAATGAACACTGCTTTTTCTAAGCACAGTCGATATATCGATATCACTCGATTATTCAATATTATTTTGATATCGATACGACGATAGCAATTTTTTAATCATAGTGTAATATCGAAATTTTCAGTATTGAGGAATGATATCGAAAATATCGAAAAATGTGTCAGATTATCATCAAAATAAATCTCCCATTTGTTCTTTTACTTTGTGTTTAACGTTTGCTGTATAATGAAATAAAACTCGGCGGCAACTTGTGCTTGAGATTCAAAATAAAAACATTGCAAAATGCCAAGCAGCGTCACTTTGTGCTCTGCGTTCGCTGGAATTCACGGTCTCCCCAATGTAAAACCTCAAAAGAAACCGCCCGTTCTGGACAAACTCTCAGTGCTGAGATTTGTTTTTTTAAAAGCTTGAGCAAATAGGCTCAAGAGAAAGCCGCGAAAAATTGGGACTTAATTTTTTTTTTTAATCAAAGTGTCATCTTTATGGTCTTTGACTTTTACATGGGATAATTGATATATCGAGTATTCTCGATATTGTATTTCTGATAAACATGTATCCATAATTTAAAATTCTGATATCGACAGTGCTTTTAGCTTTTTCATGTTTTTCCAGCACCAATGGCCACAAAATATCGAACAGCTCAGTGGAACAAAGTCTGCTATAAATTAATATCCCTTAAACTGGTACATTTCGTGACATTACGACAAATGGAAATGATCCTGTATACCTTTAACAATGCAACATCTTACCCCGTTCTGTTGGAGATGGCGGCCCCGACTTGCTCCACAACATCCTGCAGGAACCTGGGCGGTATTTTGGTCTGCTCGTGGCACATGTTCTCTAGGCTTTCCTTGAGGACCTTGTTCAGCATGACGTTACTGCATTGCTCGCTGGCTGTGTCTATCATGCCCGCTGCGCTCCCCTGTTCAGAGGTGTTCAAGCCAGTTGGTTACTTTACTTAAATTGTAATCTTTGCACAAACATTCCTTATATACAGTATGTTAGGTTAAACCATAGCCATTAGCTGAACAATTTTTGGTTCAGAATTTTTAAGCTTGACAATGGCAAACAAACATTAATTCGATTTAATTCAATCCATCAGATATGAATTGAGACGCTTGGAACTGCTTGGAAAGAGCTCAGAGTTACGTTGATCTGCTGTTCACTGAAAATTGTATCAATGTAAGGGATTTTTTTTTTGCAGATCTGAAAGTTTATTTGTACAATGTGTTAAGGGGACTACTTTTGCTGACCTCTAGTTGTGATTCCACAATGCTCCTCAGGTGACTCGCCATCTCGCCCAGTTTGAGCTTGAGACTCTCACTCTCTGCGTTCAGTGCTACCTGCTGAAGGGCGGCCAGCAACTACAAGAAAATGCACCCCAAAACACGCTGGTGATAAGACTTAGGGCAGATGTTGTCTCATATTAAAGTATAGGTGTGTGAAAAATCATATTGAAATTGGAGAATGAATTAGGGTTAAATTTCACATTTTACGGATTCCTAGAAATTATGCATACAGTCTTCAGAAGTGAAAAGATATCAGGGGCTGGAACTGGCATTTTGAACGAACTGAACTCATCACTGACACAAGGGGCATTGCCAGATCAATTTGAATGGGGGGCGGGGCATGGGCATGTGTGAAAAGAAATTTGCCGACTGACCCTTTATGATGAAAGGTAGCCAGTATTGTATATGGTCACCCAGCCAACGCAAAAATCAAAGGGGGGAGGGGTGGGATGGCTGGACACCATCTGACTCTAGGGGGAGCTGTTCAAAGCCATCGATCTCGAACACTATTGGACAAAAGGTGGCGCTCTTTGTCGTGACACATTTGCCGACAGACACACCGTTTACCTGACAGGACAATGATTTTGCTGATAAAAACAATTAATAGGGGGTTTCCTCCCCCCCCACCCCTGCCTTGCCCCGCCCCACAAAGCTGTAGGTGTGAACCCTGTTTTTTTTTTTTAATCTGCAAAAATTACAGTTGACAGGTTTTATTGAAAATTGAACTTTGAAGCAATTTGAAGGCTTACTGAAAAGGTTTTATTCACCCATTATGACTTGTATCACATCATACTATACTGCATTTATAACTCTTGGTGAATCCATAAAAAAAAACCCAGAGCACTGAGGCGATTTGGGGCGGTATAAGGTGAAAACAGGCAGGCGCTTTGGGACGGTACAAGGACTAATGTTTATGCTGACATTACGTGTCATTCCAAGACTGTTATCCATTTTTCTGAGGCAATCTTTCATCCTGTTGTTCAGCATGTCTTGTTGATTGAGACCCATTTCATGACCTACCTGTTTGGAGTTATCAGCATCCAGTATGTAGTCCTGTGCCTTATTGATGTCAGCCTGCACGTCGTCCTCACTGCAGTCAATCAATCCCTTGATGGCGTCCTGTATCTGCACCACCAACCTGTCCACCATCTACAACATAAACAATGGCAAGATTTTTGGTTCGCATACACTGATCTCTTTAAACCTTCCCTTGACAACCCATGCAAATACGTCACAGATATTATCAAACAAAATGAAGACTACATATGGAAGACTTTATTTTGTAAAGATATTGCTCTTAAATGCAGAGTTTTTCAGGCAATTTGCTATTTAGCAGGCTGATTTTTTTTTGACGCCGATCTTTTTAATATCGTTGCAGTTATACTGTGACAATATTAAAAAGATCTGGGAGCTGACACAGGGAAGAAGATAGAGAGACACAGGGGTGGAAGAGACAAGTGAGCTAGATGCATGCATGAGGAATCGTCACAAACGGAGGATGTGTGCCAGGACTCGGCTGTGGCCGACTTAATGAGTGAGTGAGTGTGCAGTTACACTCAGGTCGCAAACAAAATCGGAGACTGATATGCTCTCAACGGTCGTAGCTCAGGTGCAGCTTGATCCCAAAAGTCAGTCACTGACTGATCTGCGTCATCGTAAGGTCGACCTGAGGGCGGCTTTATGGTCGCAGGAGCAATTGGGTACAAGCATCCGGGCTATGCACGAGCATGGAGCCACCTCAGTAAATGGCACGCGATTGCGGTTGGCTGAATTGGTCTACCATACCTGGTGTGAGGTGGTGTAGAGGAAGCCCTGCTGTAGCCTGAAGGCCTGCTCGTCCTGGAACTTGTGCTGGCTGTGGTTCCTCTGAAGCAGGTTTTGGATCTTCTGCAGCGAGGCCGAGATCTTCTCGGGGTGTTTTTGCAAGGCAACGGAGAGATCACTGACGGGGGTGGGCATGTACTTCAGTGTGTAGTTCCTGCCAAAGAATCAAGATTTCTTTTCTGCTGGTATTGCTATTTCAAAAACTCATTTTACTGAATTCAAATATAAGGCCTTGGTTTATAAAAATGAAAAAGCCCGACAGAGACCCAACTTTAATATCACAGAAGAGTCCTAAACTTGACCCTATACAGGTAATATCCTACAGAACAAGGAGTCAGCTCACTGAGTATTCATTTCATTGAATATCCCAGATATCCAATTTGTGGACAAGTTTATCCACAATAGCCCATTGTATCAGGATGCTGAACAATTTTCCTAGAATCTTCCAGCTTTGAAGTTGGAAATTCCGGGAAATTTGTTCAGAGTCCTGCAACCACAGTCTTGAAATTTGAGATTTAGAAAGAATTACACATGTATGGTGCCAAAATGTTATTTACAATTTGAAAAAAGCCTGAGATTTGGCAATTGCAGGACTTACATCCCTGTGCAGTTTACTCAATGCAATGGGCCTATGGGCTCCGTGCACAAGGAGAGTTGGGGGAGATCACTTGGAGTGACACTGGAACACATTCCTGACAACGCCCGATGCCCACGCTAAGACGCTATGTCTTTGAGCACACTCAGAACAAAATAAGTCGTGCGTACTTCACGGAGCCCATGGGAGACAAAGTTATCCACAATTTATCCTAGATAACATGAGACGACTCCTCATTGGCAAAAGTGCCAGGAAAGAATCTTAGGAAATTTGAAACAGAGTTTCTGGACTCACTTTTCCAGAGCGCTGGCCAGGTCGTTGAAGCCAGCTACCCCTATGCCATTCCCATCCAGTTTGACTGTGTGAAGCTTGGTGTTGAGCTGAAGGGCCTTGGCTAGCATGCGTGCACCAATATCGCCCATGCCGTTACCACTACAACAAGATGGAAAAGAATTTCAAAGCACTATGCTCTCATGACAACTAGAAGGCAGACTTAGTAATTAGATTTTTTTTTTGCCTGACAAATCTTGACCTTGCATGTTTGATTTTATAGTGAAAAAAAAAATTCTGAAAAAGGACTTTTATTTTGTGTTACATCAACCCGCGATTAGACCGGTTACCAGAACTCATATTATCAAATCTTAAAGGGGCAGGAACCAGTTTACCCCATAAAGGAAGCGCGAAGCAAAATTCATGGTGGACGTGCTTCGAACGTATTGTTGACATCACGATGTTCCGCTTCGCTTTCGCGTGAAGCATGAACCAGGCTTAAGAATGGAATTATTGTTGGGATGAAAATAATTTAAAATTTGTTAAGTTATTGTTCCATTACTACAAGGGACAATTCTTTTGTATTCCTGGAAAAATTGCAATTTCAAGACACAGTTTATTTTTCAGGGTGAAACTCACAAAAAAAACACAGACAGCACATACATACTTAACAATGAACCACAAATAGAACAATATTTTTTAATTTATATCTTTTTATGCGTGTGAAGCAAGCAACAAATTGCATTTTTCAGGTACATATACCACACTAACAGACAAAGGAATTGACTGCAGGATATTACTGTGTGAAGAAGTCAACAGAGAAGTTGAAAAAGTCACCTTTTTATGGATACTGGGCAATGCTATGTAATACACTTAAAAAAAACCAGCATTAATATTTGACTTGTTCACATGCGACTGGAATTTTGTGCGACTGAGTAAAGTGAAGTCTGCTGGGATGTGTCTTGTGAAAAACAAACACCAAATACTGTACTGCAGAGCATGGCAACAAGAATAAGTTATTTGGTCTGTAGTCTCACCTGATGTCAATACTGGTCAGTGTGGTGTTACTTCCTAAGGCATTGATGATCTGGATTGTCTCAAACTTCATCTTGTTGTCAGCTAGAGACAAGGTATGTAGAGACTGCAGGGAACAAAGGGACAGCGATGGAAAGTGCAATAGGTCTCGTTCAACTGACGTCATTTCCTACAGACCATCCATGTGCATCGGCATTTTGAGCATCAACTTGCATAACGCGCATCAGCTGCGTCGTATTTCGAACACATTTTGAGCAACAAGCGCGCGTGTTTGGAACATATTCAACACTGCGCAATACCTGCAATTATAATATCATTGCAGTCAACCGGGTACTTTTACTGACATAATATTGCAGTCATCCTGGTACTTTTTATAAAAGCATGCAATACGCTGATTTACTTCTACCGCTGGAAGCCTGATATAAATAATAATATGTCATATGTAATTAACAAGGGGTAAAGCTTCCAAAATCTGATGAGCCCAATTTTATGTCACACACGTGACCGAAGAATGGCCCAAGATAGTCAGTCAGTCAGTCAGGTACAAAGAGGACACTTAGGCTAGCCCCTGTAGGACTGGCAAAAGGAACAACACGTCTTGAGATAGGCTTACCAATTCTTCATTCTGGATGACTTGTACGATGGCATCCAACACCTTCAGCAGTTGCCTAAAAGGAGACAAAAGTTTATTAAGCCGCTGCCAAGTAAAATAAGACTATTTAAGGACTGAGAAATGTGCTGGAATAAACAGGGATAGGTGACAAATCTGAAAAAAAATTCTACAAATGCGGAACGTTAGACCATTCAAGACAAGTCCGATCTTTGTTTGATCTGAAGATGTACGCTGGCAGAGCTCGGCCATATTCGTACTGATGTCCAGTGATTGCAGGGTCTTGTATTGGCCTGTCCAATCAAAGCCTTCATGATTATTCATGACTTACCTGTTATTGACACCAACCCCTATTCGTACTGATGCCCAGTGATTGGAGGGTCTTGTTTTGGCCAATCCAATCAAAGCCTTCGTGATTATTCATGACTTACTTGTTTTTGAGACCACCCATATTTTTGCTGATGTTTAGAGATTGGAGTGTTTACTTCTGGCCTATCTAAACAAACTCCTTAATAATTATTCATGATTTTGCTTGTTTCGAGACCGCCCATATTTTTGCTGATGACCAGAGATTGAAGGGTTTACTTCTGGCCTATCTAATCAAACTCCTCAATAATTATTCATGACTTACTTGTTGTTGTTTTCAGACTGCCCATACTCCTGCTAATGTCCAGAGATTGGAGGTCTTTGTTTCGGCCTACCCAATTAAAACGGTCATGATTATTCATGACTTACTTGTGTTTGAGACCGCCCATATTGTTGCTGATGTCCAGTAATCCGAGGGTCTTGTTTTGGCCTACCCAATCAAAACCTCCATGTAATTCTTGTATTGAAACCACCCATATTTTTGCTGATGCCCACTGATTGGAGGGTCTTGTTTTGCCCTATCCAATCAAAGCCTTCATGACTATTCATGACTTACTTGTTTTTGAGACCGCACATATTCTTGCTGATGTCCAGTGATTGGAGGGTCTTGTTTTGGCCAATCCAATCAATGAGTCTCGCTAGCTCTGCATTCAGCTCGTTATCACTGAGATTCAAGGTAGTAATATTGTTGACATGTGCTATGCTACCAGCAACGACTTGACCACCGTCTGACTTAAGCTGAAGAAAAAAAAGCATCATAAATGCTCTTGTAAGTCATATGGGCAATTCCACAGTTACTGGCATTACACTCTTAACTCTCTGCCTACAGAATATGTATATTATTTGATAGAAGGAAACAGTGGGGCTCGTTAGACACAAAGAGTTAAGTATTTACAAGATACAATTTGCGCTGGAAGAGGTAAATTAAATATTGGATTTTGCACTTTACTGACGTTTTGCACTTCACTGACGCGCAGAGTTAATGATTTGAGATGACAAGTTTTGTCAGATAACAGTGAGTGTGCTGAATACGCACACACAAAAAATACATCAGAATACATCAGTTGTGGGGTTACCATAGAGCTGCATTAAATTACTAGCACTAACTCGCAGAACAAATTAAGCCTGCTGGGCGCATCCATGTTTGTGCACAAACCTATGAAAAAGTTGAAGTTGAGTACGACTTTAGTCCGGCTATTTTGGTCTGGTTCCAAATAGTAGACTAGAATACTCCAGCTATCCTTCTTTTGAGCAAAGTTATTCCAACTATGGTTAACTATAGTTCGCGCTTAAACTTGCTCTCAGCCTCACTCAGATCACCAATACAAAGTATCAACCATGGCATGCGGATAAGCTCATTCATTTACATATGGCCTGAATAATTTTACCTCGTTACAGCTGAGGTCTAGCTCCACATCCTGCAGATTGCCGTTGGCTCCTATGCCCATTAGCACTTCCCTGTTAGTTCAAATTAAAAGCAAATACAAGAACTTTCTAAGTCTCAAAGAACTAATTGATTTTAATAATCCGCCAAATTCCATCAGAGACACTCAAAATTTGGTGTAATAAGAAATAATTTGTAGAAACATGGTCTTACAAATACAGCTTTCATGAAGGGTTAAGTGATGTGGTCCAATGGATACGGAGTTTGACTCTGTGATGGTACACGAGTTCGAACCCAAACTGAAAAAAATATGGTGCTTGTGTTCTTGGGCAAGACACTTTATTATAATGGAGTACCAAAGTGAATACGTCACGCGCACAAAATGTGTGTAAAAGACATTAGCGCGTGATTCAGCCCTAGAACCAACACGCGCGTGTACTCCATTCGTTTGCGCTACACTTTCTGGTTCTAAATGACGTCACAATTTCGGTACTCCATTGCCTCTCTCCACCCAGGAGTATAAATGCATACCAATGAAGGCATAGACCAGATTGCACCGATCTTAGGCTGCTGCAGAAAACTGATCTCGTGGCCTGGTGAGCGTGGTAATATTGTGAAGAGGACAGAAGGCCCCCAGGCATTAAGGTTGTGTTTCTCAGTGAGAGGTTCTTAAACAATTTTCTTAAAGATTACAAATCTTTAAGGACTTACTTGACCACTTCAGAAGGTAGCTTGTTCCTGGACAGGTTCAGGTACTTGAGCTTGGTGCTGGTGGCAAAGAACTGCTTGAAGGAGACTTGGATGGGAACATCCTTACCCCTCCTGAAAAAGGATTGGAATCCAGAGTCTGGTTTAAAGATATAGTCCATCATTTGTAATTTGTGCATTTTGTTCGTTTGAAGCAACAAAAGTGTTCAAAATCTAATGAAGGATACTGAACAACTAACCTGATGAAGTTTCAGCTCAGCTTCAGCTGCATATTCCGAGAAAAACAGCATTCTAGGATCTCAATTTCAAATCAAAAGTTGCTGAATCATGTTTTGAATTGTTTTGAATTGCAGCTATACGCGATGTCGCGCACTGATCCAACGAATTATAGCAACCGCGCGCGTCTGTGCGTCGTGCCAATGCTTGCGCACGCTGCGCCGAATAAGAAAACGAACTACTAATTTAAATTTTCCTACAGTACCATTGGAAAGGCCTTCTTTCGTTGATTACTTCAAAATGATAGCTTGCCAGAAAGAGTAATCTCACAGGGAGTTTAGTCCACTTACTATCTTTCAACCAAGTATGTTTTTCAACAATAATACGCCAGTTACTTTTTCAGATGGCTGCAAATGATGGACTATAGCTTTAATGAGATCAACAGCTGATGTGTAGTCAAATCCCAAAACATCCCTGGTAGTTCTCAGAGACGAAAGAGGAGAGTGAATCACAGCCCTTGTGTGCCTTATCAAGGATAATTTTCTGATCATTAAACCTATCCCTGCCAGGTGCAACAAACTGCATTAGGTGTAAAAGTCTGTGGAACCTTGCTGTATCGAGAATGGTGTATAAACGGCTGATTCTGAGACAATGGGAGTAGTCCCAGCACAATGCCACAGTTGTATCCAGCTGCAGTTGGTTACCACAGACTCTGAGGCAGTTTGGTCATGAGACTTTTGACCTGATGGATCTTTTAACACTAGGAAGGCTCCAACTTTGACAACTGTTGTATGCTGCTGCTTTTGGCAGGGTTTCTAGCCAAAATATCCTGGAGGGTTTAGGGTTAAGAGTTTGGCAGTCATATCCAATTTGAAACATAGTGACCATTAAGGCCATTCCATGAGAATGTGGACATGGCTGAAAAAAATTACAATCACCATAACCGGAAACGTGGTACCGGTATGAAAATAAAGGGGACAACAAGACCTTTTGTTCGAATGACGTGCCAGTGAGATGGAATATGGTTAAATGTAGCTTTTGTCAAAAAACTGGTATTTGCCTAAAATTATGGATTTTACATGCAGGTAGTCATTTTGGAACCTTGTTTTTACATGCAAAATGCAAGTGTTATTGTGCATTTGTATTTAAGGAAGAGAAAAAGGTGCATGTCCTATGCCAAAAGAGTTTTTTGTTTGATTATTAGTTTCTTAATTGTTTAAACTCGTACCAAAGATGGGCTAGATATTTTATGACTGATTATTTTCTAGTTTCATAGAGTATTTGATACAAGTCTTATCTTCACTTTGAACACGGTTTCTGGCTTTAAATCGGTTGGTACTTTTACGGTCAATTGCAAATGATCCTACACGGCTTTGAAGTTACGTTCTTTTTTTTTGCATTGTACAAGCACACCAGGGGTGTAAGTGACCACTGATAAAAACAGCTGAAAACACCTGAAAAAGGTGTAAAAAAGCTGAACTTTGAAAACCTCCTACACTTTTGTACACAGCAAGTGAGGAAAAAAAAGCTGAAATCCAAAACAAAAAAAAGCTGAAATCAGCTTTAAAGCTGAGATTTCACACCCCTGCACACATGAATGGATGGTGAATAATAATAGACAAACTTTCTCAGAAAGGTCCTGGTACCTGTAGGTGAACGTATTGCCGGCAAGGTTGAGGTGGGACAAGTTGGCACAACATCCCCTGAAGAGGGCGACAAACACGTTGTCCAGGGCACACTCCGTGTCGGCCAGGTTGATGTGCGTCAGTGCATTAGGTTGGGCCAGGAACCCTGTCAAATTCTTTATTAATGAAAAAAAAATGAAAACCAAACTATTATATATATCAAAGTAAAAAAAAAAAGGCAGAAAAAATGTTAGTTTAGATTATTTTATCTAAAATAGAAGCAGTTATTTATTTTTATGCAACAAAAATACCGCAGAATTTGTTGGGGGGACATATGAAAAAGAGATCATTTCCTTAATTAAAAAAAAGCAGTACGCTGGGCTTCTGTGGCCCATCCGACACAAACCAGATTTGTGCATGGACGCCAAACTATGTTTCAGCATTTCTAATTTTCCGCTGCATTCACAGGCTCATCGTATTTAATTCCACTCCACCTCATTTCAATACATTTTATAAACAGGCACACAATTAAAAATGTCTGCACCCACAATGCATCTGAAAGTATAGGTTGGCGTGGATACCAGGAACTTCTTAAAATCTCATGGAAGAAAAGTTTTTTAAGGGAAAAAACAATTGGCATCGTTCATTTTCACGAACACAAAACTCGATACTGTAACAGCCTTTTTCTCAGTATTTTACTTTTTTGACATGTCAATTAATGTGAAATATAAACAGCCATAACTTGTCAATGGACGAGCAACGAAGAGAATTTTATTCTCTTTCATAATACCTGCAACCCTCATTTCAAATTCTGATCATTTCTGTCTCATTTTGCAAGAACGCCTCACATATTTCAGTAGTTGATAACCATCAGTCTGTATATCTTTCAGGAGTACAAATAGTATTATTTTTTCCCTGCTGTTTCTGTTGTTGTTTTTTGTGAAGGGTTAAGAATAACCAAAAATCTTTCAGAAAAAAACCTGCTAGGAAAAAAAATGGAGAAAAAGAGAGCACACTCACACTGATGTCTCCATCCTTGAATGTGTTTCCTGACACATCCAGCTTGACCAGCGAAGTGGACATGAAGTTGTTCTGAACCAAAGCCTTGCCGAGGTGAAGAGTTCCTAAGGGGACAACACGCACCACAAATCTTAAAGGTATGTAGCATCATTTGGTTTCATCCTTTTTCGTGTGTTAATAATAATAACAAAAATATTGGCTTCTTGTGTAGCGCTCATGTCCGTCATGATGTGACGCTCCTGGCGCATTGTTATTACCCTGGCTTTAGCACGGCTGCCATTACGGCACTCAAGCATTGAAGGAATTTCTTTCCTACCAGGTACCCATTTACTACACCTGGGTGGAGAGAGGCAATCGTAGATAAGTGCCCACCCCAAGCGCACAAGCACCATGTTCCCCGTCAGGATTCAAACCCATGTACCACGGCACACGGGTCGAACACCGTAACAATTGGACCACAGCACACCACAAAAGTTTATGTATGCAACAAAACTTAGTTTGGTATGGTACAACTATGTGGATGTTTTATCTCAACGGCTACTCTACATGAGGAAACAGAGAAGATATATGCACACTTTTTGGGGGTCGTGTACATGTAATTGAATTTTGTGTCCTTGGGCAAGCCACTTCACCCACTTCACCCTCACCACCCAGGAGTATGAATGGGTACTGGCATGAAGCTTGGGAGTGTCCTGCGATAGACTGGCATCCCATCCAGGGGGAGAAGAAATATTCTCCATCGGTTTCATACCACTGAAACCGCAGATCAAAATTGGCCTGCTTGGTCATGTCGGCTCATGACAGACTTGACTGACTTACCTTCGGACGTAAGTCCCGTCTTGGCCAGATTCAGTTCCACCAGACCGTTGGGTAGCTTGGTCAACAGACTGGACAGAGAGCGGATTCCCCGATCATCCAGCGAGTTGTTGGATAGGTTGATGTGTCTGAGGGCCGTGTTCCGATTGGCCATCACGGCTGTGCACATGTCTTGTGTGAAAGACCTGAGCGAAAAAATATACACGGAGCAAATCACACTGAAGTTTCGGGAGAATGCAAAAATGAACAGGTGATAACTCTATGTTTACTTCAAGGTTAATCTTTCCCAGGGTACCTCTGGGTTCAACCTCTAGTTCCCAAAACCATCAAAAGCTCTTTATATGAGAGTCTAAGAGATTGTTTACATATAAGGAGATTGTTTACTACCACTTGCGAGAGGCACATACCATGGTAGAGGGTATTTAAAAAATCGTTCAAAATCAACTTGTTTCGACTTTTGACTCAAAGGTATTTTTGAAGTACGTTGAAGACCGAATCAGAGGAATGGGTGCTGATAATGGCCGCGCCGAACCGGCCAAGCACATATCTATTCCCTTGTTGTTAAAGAAGTCACATGACTGTCTATGCCTTGGAGTTGTCGTTGATCGTCGCGTCATGGGTGACATGAGCATGGTTGCGATTATGTTGTGTCGAGTGCACTTGTTCCGAGAGAATCACACGATTTCTCAGTTTTGTGACCTGAGCATTATTTTTCTGTTTGATGCTGATGGTTCTGTCGCGACTCAAACAAATCGCAGGTCAACCTAAGGCTGACTTTACATAGGTCTGGGAGTTACTGTACTAGGCGTTACTCCGGTCGCAATTTTGCCTTCTAATGTAAACTAGTTCTTAACTTTCTTCCTTTTATTTCAGATTTTTTTGGTGTGTTTTTAACTGTAGTACTCGGTACACATACCCTTTCAGTCCCACGTTTTCCAGAATGAGTTGCTCCAGATACGACGATTTCTGTAGCACCTTGTTGATTTCTCGTGTAGTGTCCCCACTCTATTTGCAAAAAAAGATTTCCTAATGAATAATTCTCAAATAAACCACAAAGAGAAACTAACTAGGGGCATTATAATAATTTTGACAAATTGAACAAGAAATTGACTGGAGTGGAGTTTGAACCTGTGACCTCCGGATAGCCGTTCCAGTGCTCCACCAACTGAACTATCCAGCCCTGTGTTGGCAGTTCCCCATTTTGTCAATTTTTTTTGTTCAGGGGGGCGTTTGTCAGAAGCCCGAAGTCTGTACGTGCCATGCAGCCAGGGATGAAATCCAAAGTCACAATGCTAGCAGCATTTAGCAGTTGATTGAGCACAGGAACCAAAAAATGGAGGTCGCAGATTCAAACCCCGCTCCAGTAAATGTATCTTTTCAACCACTTCGTGCCGGGATTATTTTTGCCGAAAATTTCCAATTTTTCCAAAAGGCAAAATTTTCCAGCCAACTTCTGAAATACAGCCAAATGCCACAAACACTGATTCGTAAGAGTCATTTCAACAGTATTCTTGCCGAAACCTCATATGTTTCAATCTGAGGTGTGCACTGGAGCATAAATTGTAGAACAATAGGCCGTACACAGCGGCCAAATCAAGATCCACACATGCTCCGCCTCCACAGACTTCACAGACTTTGTGTGTGTCTACAAAAGACACGAGGGATTAATGTGTTTAGACCTCACCCGGAGGTGAGTCGACGTCTTAACCTATCAGCTGTGCCTGCGTATAAAAACAGTGGGTGTTATCATGTCCTCCGACGCGAACTGGTTAAGCCAAGTTCACTGTACATTTTTATATGATGGTTTTAAAGGGAATGTACATCATTGGCTTTTGCTGTAATTTTTAGAAATGAACTATTTGAGGGGTTAGTATAATAGATCAAATATTGTTACAATAACTTGTTTGAAGTTTTGTGTTCAAAAATGCTGGAAAACCAGGAAAAACAAAAATGTTTAAGCAGTCTGGTTCCCTGACTCCACTCAAGATGAAATAGATCAATATTTATAGATGCCGGAAAATTGTAAGGTAAGGGAACCAGTCTAGCCTACCTGCACCCATTCATAAACATGCAACCAATAGCAAACAAAATTTGGACTGAAAAAATGGTAAATTTGGATCAGTAGTTGAAAAATAGTCAGGTTTTTCCAACGGTGGTCGGCCGACCACCGTTGGAAATTTATACAAAAATACTATTTTCTTGAAAATTACTTCACACCAGGTGCCATAATTTTACAGGATGCTTTCCACTGTCATTTATCAACATCCTAGTAAAGTATTTCGTAAAATCTTGGTAATTTTATTTTTCGATGTTTGCAAATGTTGTATATTCCCATTAACATTGCAAAAAAATTAATAAATAGAAATAGTCTTTTCAAAATATCGAAGGGAACTCACCAGCTTGGAGGCATTTCTGAAAGACAATTTGGTGAACCAGTTGTTGTAGATTAAAGCGGAGATGATTGGGACAAGAGACCTGCAACGGAAGAAAACAAAGCACCCAAAAAGAATTCAATTAGTGACAATTTCAGTGGAAATCCCAGGCTAACTGCAAATTTGTGATGACATATGTATGACAAAATTGGGGGGATGAAACTCAAGAAAACAACAAACAGTATTTTTAATGACCCATTTATTTAGTTGTAATCTTATTGCATAAACAGTGGAACGTCGCTATACCGAACACTGCTGTACAGAACATTTGGCTATACTGAACATCATCTTTGGCTCCTGATTTTTGCGTACAAAACGTACCGAACATTGTTGTTGCAAAATGTCAACAGAAGAGCGACAATGGGCTATTATTTCCCCAAAGAATAGAAGGGGAAAGCCACCCACTGCTGCAGGTAGTAAGCTCAAAAACTGTGTTATGACATAATTCAATAGTCGGCACGTGTTCAAAGTCATCTTTCAGTAACCACCAGGGCGTGCAGGGTGAAGTTCTGAAGGGCGCTACTGGTATTTAGGCCAAAAATAAAAAAAAAATTTGGTCTCTGGTCAGACCAAAGTTCCGGAATTGACGCGACCACGCGGCTTTTTTTTTTTTTCGTTTTTTTTTTCTTTTCTTCAAGCTTGGATTGTACAGACAAGGTGGGGTACTATTTTGCTTTTTTGGTGTCTTCATGTACATTGGTGTCCTCCATAATTTGCCTTGGTGCTTTCGATCATTTGCCTTGGTGCAATTTCCCATTCCTTGGTGCTCTTTGGTAAAAAAAATTGAGCAGGTGCGGAAATAGAGGGCGCTGTTGGAGCTACCGCGGAACATTTTGGAAAAAAAAAAGATCGACGCGCATGATTAAAATCGACGCTCGTGCTCTCCAGAGACCGACAAATTTTTTTTTTGGGCCTTACTGAAAGTGAGTACTTGAGCACCGGCAGCTTAAAATCGCTATACCAAACGATCGCTATTGCGAACCAATTCTGTGGATCACGTGGTGTTCCTTATAGCCGTGTTCTTCTGTTTTAACAAGATGTACTGCAATCAACTCACCTATGGCTTAAATGGTCAAAATCATTGAGGCACAGTTCTTTCGAGTCTTGGGACAGGTAGATGGTGTCCACATCCTGTAAGCAAAGGTCAAAGGGTAAAGTTCAGCGTCAAATACACTAGTATTATACTGAAAGCAACATTCGTCTTGCTGGACTTCGTCTTGCTGGACATTCGTCTTGTTGGACTGTAAATTTCATCTATAACACATCACATTATATGTTCATATCAAGTTACAACCAAATCGAACATATAGTTCTGTAGATATGGGCCTTTAATAGAAAAAAATGCTCCTTTAATGAACATCACATGACATTTGATGATGTCATGATGACATCACTTGACGTCACCTCAATTTTTGCCTATAACACATCCCGGTCTACCTACATACCAAGTTTCAACCCAATCAGACCTACAGTTCTCTAGATATAAGGTCTTAAAGTTTGCACCTTCAAGATGAGGTCACGTGACCCATGATGACGTCATCATGACATCACTCTTCCGGACACAAGTTTACTATAGGGTCTTTACATATTTCGGTTTGATGAGAACACAAGTTTGTTTTAAGTCAAAAGTACCGGTCTGAATAAAACATGCACAAAGTCTATGGGATTTGAGTACGAACAAGAAGGAAAAAAAAAAAAAAAAAATATCAGAACAAAAACAAAGCTTTTCCGCTTTTAAGAGGAAGAGCAGAAAAAAAAAACTTAACAAAAACAAGAGCTGTTTTGGTAGCTGTTGGAAATTTTCTGAAACAGCTAAAAATATAAATTCTACAACGTTGAGAACAATGTTCTATGCAAGTATTGTGGGCTCCTAGTAATAATAATCATTACACCTCACACCCTAAAACTCAAGGGCAAACCTATTGTCACACACTAAGGCTTTCACAGAAAACCAACAGGCCGTTGAATAGCAATTGATGTGGGGAATCCCTGAATGGCTATATCTATACAATTCTAAATATGGATATTCATACCGGTGTGAGGCATGTTTGGCTTTCTGTTAGGCCAAAAAAATAAATATTTGGTCTCTGGTCAGACCAAAGTTCCGGAATTGACGCGGCCACTCGGCTTTTTTTTTTTTTTTTTTTGCTTTTTTTTTTTTTTTTCAAGCTTGGATAAAATTTTTGTACAGACAAGGTGGGGTACTATTTTGCTTTTTTGGTCTCCTCATGAACATTGGTGTCCTCCATAATTTGCCTTGGTGCTTTCGATCATTTGCCTTGGTGCAATTTCCCATTCCCTGGTGCTCTTTGGTAAAAAAAAATGAGGAGGTGTGGAAATAGAAGGCGCTGTTGAAGCTAACGCGGAACATTTTGAAAAAAAAAAAGACCGACGCGCATGATTAAAATCGACGCGCGCGCTGACCAGAGTCCGACCGCTGTGAATCTAGATGTCGACTCGGGCTTTTGCCTGGACCTGCAGTACTCACCCAAGCGACCTCTGGCATGTAGGCTTCTTGATGCAGATCACACATACAGGAGTACATCTGTGTGAAACCGCCGCAGGGGCCTGGGTCTGGGAAGGTCTCCTCAAGTTTCATGTTGAGGCTAGTCCTGCGATTTTCAGGATTGGTAGTTATTCTCGGTATAACGCTCCTGTAGGCAAGAAAGAAAAGTGCAAATAATATCACCGAAGAAACCCACCTCCCCCCGCGTTGCGGGCGAGGCGAAGCCTTATTGTATAGTTATACAGTGCCCATATCAACCAAAATTGACCATACAGTGCTCTTAAACGTAGCAATTTAACAGATTTTGTGGGGAAATGTGGGACTTGGATCATTACCGGGCCACACCTTTGATCATAATCCTGCCACTCCTTGCCTTGTCAGACTAATTATTCGAAACCACTTTCTTGCCCACACCTCTCGATGAGTCGAAGAAACTTGATTCCAAACTATGCTGTACATTATGCAAACACACCCATTAGTCATTTCCATAGAGCAGTATTAAATTACCAGAGAGATTACTTGCCGTACACATTGCAGGCTGCTGGAACATCCATGTTTGTGCACAAACCTATGGAAACCTCAAAATTGTGTACCACTTTTGTTCAGCTGTTTGCATATCTGCATTTGTATTCGAAAACCGAGCGTAAATGAAACATGCAATTCTTGACCATGTTTGATATACATGTACATGTTGATTTTTTTTTTTTTTAATGAACGAGCTTTATCCAGATACATGTAAATTGCAGAGAACATAATAAATAGAGAGGTTTCGCATTCAAACGGTTGTTTATATGTTTAGCTATCCTGAAGCGTTATTGACCATTCCGTTGTTTCGCAAACTGTACGCATACGCTTAGTTGTCAGAACCAAGCAGTAATCCAAAATGGCGGCTTCCGATGAAAGCATTGATCTCCATTAGTAAGACTGGACAGGGCACGCGTATACTTGCGCGCAGTGAAGATTCGGAAAACGCGGACACAAACAGCTGTATAGTACAGTGCGGGTTTAACGTTTGCGACCGTGCTTGCGTGACGTGCGCGTGCTGCATGGTCTGTGTGTGACGAACGCATTTCAAACTTTCAAACCCTCACCGATGACTACGGGTGCGTGCACAAGATGGAAGGCGTTGTGTCCTATCCAGTCTTACTAATGGAGACCAATGGATGAAAGCCTCTTATCTCTGACTGATCCTGCTTCAATGTATACACGATTATCCAGCCTGCTGTCTGAACAGTCACAGACAGTCAAGAAATCAGTCCTCTTCCCCTGCCATGCCTTTTACACAGGCTAGTCACCAACAGTCAGATCACATTTCAGGCAAGCACTTTTACTAGTCAAACTCAAATTCAGTCAACAGACAAAAGCAGGCAAGAAGTAGGCACAGCTGGCTTATCAATCACCTACAGTCAAAGCATAGCTGGGTCAAGTTACATAAACAGTCACAGCCAGTCAATCCTGCTTTGTGTATTGGCTGGGAGCTCTTAACTGTTAAAAACAGTCACTTGACCGACTTTGACTGAAAGGATAACCTTGCACAGAATGTATATTTGCATAGGAGGGTTAAATAACTTATAAATAAAAAAAGAGGTGAAAATCCAAAGTTTACTATGCACTTCACACTGACGTGCAGCTGTGTAGATGCGTAGCAGATAGTAATTTGCGTATGACTTCACAGGACCACACAATCTGGTGCGCTAACCGTAACTTCTGAACTGGATTAGTCCCGACGTGTATTTTGACATTTCAACACCCAGCTACCGGTACTGTCACTTACTCTACTGGGAAGACATTCGGGAAACACTTCTTGATCTCCAGGCAGATGATCTCAATGATGGTGTCTACATCTTCCGTGGAGTTGACTGTGAGATTGTAGGTGGTCTTGGGGAGGGAGTCTTCCCTGGAAACTTGGATCTTAAGCTGGGGAAGAGACGACAAACAGGCATGAGATGCAGTGGTAGGATTAAAATCAGGATTTTTAAAAATTCGGTTTGAATTCCACAATTCTGTTTTTATTTTAAATAGCGAATATTCGAAGCCAACTTTAAAAAAAATTGAGCCTTCCTTTTTTTCTTGTGACACGAGGTGAAGAAAACATGGAGAACGTCTTCCAACTTGCTCCATAGTCTTGGAGCAAAATGAGTCTTCCAAGTATGCTGGAGTCATTTTTTCCTGAATGTGCACAGACCCATAGTGTCTTTACATGAGCATCAAGAACGCCATGGTCCAGTGGTTACAGTGTTTGACTCATGTACGAAGGTGTGTGGGTTCGAACCCGGCCAGGAACATGGTGTTTGTGCCCTTGGGCAAGACACTTAACTACAATTGCCTCTCTCCACCCAGGAGTATAAATGGGTACCTGTGAGGGTCGAGGACCGATTGAGCGCTGATATCGGCTGCCGTGTGGTCCCATGAACGGGGTAGTACCGGTAATTGTAAAGCGCTTTGGGATCGTTGATACGATGGAAAGCGCTATATAAACACAATTATTATCATTATTTATCAAGCATCATCGGTAATATGTTCAAAATAGTCCCTCCAAGAGATCTCCCTTAACTCTCCCTGTGGGAGGGGGGGGGGGCGGAGTAATTACAAGGAGCCGTTTATACCTTGGACAGGATGACATCTTACCTGAAGTAGCTTGTGGCTTTCTATTTGATGAATCTCCAAGAAATGGAACTCATGCTCCAGCTGCAACAGAAAAGGAACATTCAACCACTGAAAGTGTGCATATTTACTCCATCATTAAAACAACTCATTTTTAAAATCTCAATTATAAGACCTGAACCATAACTGGGTGTCATCTTTGCCGTACTTTGAGAATATTACAATCTGAAAGGTGGAGTGCTGTAAGAAAAGCTTGATTTGTTCTGCAGTTAATTCTGCCCTTAAATTTGATAAATTCTCTACTGAACCTAGGGAAACTGACTAGGTGAATTATTTATAACAATTTTGGAAAAGTTGAACAAAGAAATTGACTTGAGAAGGGTTTGAACCTGCCACCTCCGGATTACCAAATCCGGAAGTCGCAGGTTCACACCCCACTCCAGTCATTTTTTGTTAAACTTTTCTTAAATTTGACGTCTCAGTTTCTTTTTTTTCTTAAGTTTCTTACCTTTGATGGGATCTTAGATGAAAGGATGAAAGCTCTGTATCTTGACAAGGCCTGCCAGGAAAAAAATATATATATCAATGGAAATTGAAACAAGTGATCTACATGTAGCTGTAAATGTTACTGAATTGCTAGATGGAGTGATCTGGAATACCGTACATGTGCATTCTGAATATATAACAATTCAAAATTTGCTTGACAATAAACACCACACCTTTTCTTCACAGCACACACATTAAACTGTTGAACCTTTGCGAACAATTTTGGTGTCATGAATTTTAGTCCAAAATTCAAAAACGGTGGCGTCCAAAAATTGGGCACAAAATCGGCCGTGTGTTCCCTAACGTGGAGTACCGGTACTTGAACAAATCTAAAAAAAAATCCCAAGAATTTCTTTAAAGTTTACAAATTCTGATAAACCATTATTATCTCCACTCATATACATGCACCCAACTAGAAGTTTGTGAGAAAATTATTTATAAATATCCACACAACCATCCTATAAAAACTGGGCGTTTTTGAGTTTTTGCCATTTCTGGGTCACAAATTTGTCCCGAATAATCGAGCTGTTCAGTGCTAGTTGTGAATCCAGCTGCACAGTGTTCGCCTTTCTGCTGACGCTTAAGAAACAACATTTGTGTATTGGTACTGTATGTAATGTGACACACACAATGTGTATCGCATATTGAATGAAAACGAAAGGAAAAATGTGTGCGTATACATGCATTCTATCGTGCCTGATGTAAAACAACTGTTTTTGTTTTTCTTTCTTTTCTCGGGAACGGAAAGACATTTTCCTTCCAACTAGACCTTTAAAGCTATAGTCCAACATTTGCAGCTATCCAAAAAGTAACTGGCGTAATTATTGTTGAAAAACATACTTGGTTGAAAGATAGTATGGGGACTAAACTCTCTGTGAAATTATTCTTTCTGGCAAGCACTCATTTTGAAGTAATCAACGAAAGAAGGCCTTTCCAACGGTGCTTCTTAAAACGCACCAACGGTGCTTCTTAAGACGCACCGTAGGCAAATTTAAATTAGTTGTTTGTTTTATTATTCGGCGAAGCGCGCGCAAGCATTGGCATGACGCACACGCACGCGCGGTTGCTATAATTCGTCGGATCAGTGCGCGACATCGCGTAACTGCAATCGGCTCAGTGAGAATGTGTCTCGGACGCTGAATTCAGGCCCAATTCAAAACATGATTCAGCAACTTTTGATTTGAAATTGAGATCCTAGGATGCTTTTTTTCTCGGAATATACAGCTGAAGCTGAGCTGAAACTTCATCAGGTAAGTTGTTCAGTACTCTTCTTTAGATTTTGAACACTTTTGTTGCTTCAAACATGTCAAACGAACAGAATGCACAAATTACAAATGATGGACTATATCTTTAAAATAGTTAACAATCCAAAACATGAAATTTTCGGGAATTTCAGGCCTAAATGCTCAATTAATAGAGCACAATCTGTATGTATATTATGTAGAAATGTATACATAGTGTGTGATTGCAATTGTATTGCCAATGCAGTGTGTGTTATGAGGGACATACTAAATACTCTACCATATGGAAATACATATGCATTTGTATAATGTTTATGTCAAAATACAAATTGTTTCAGTTTCCTCGTGGATGCATTGCAGAACTCAAAACAAAGAAGGTTATGTAATCAAAGAACCAACACCGCAAATTGCAGGGTTTTCAATTTCACTTCCAAAGTTGCCGAGTCATATTTTGAATTGCGCCCCAAATCAGCATCCTGGACACGTAAGCTCATTCAGCCGACTGCAGCTACGCGACGTCACGCTCTCAATCGACGAATAATAACACCTGCGCACATGTGTGGGTCGTGCCAACGCTTGCGCGCACCCGTTCACAGATTTGCCGATTACAAACGAACTTCTAACGGAAATTTCCAAAAAAATGCGTCACTTGACTCATCTTTGGAACTTGCCTTCTTTTATTGTTTTCTTCAAAATGACAGCATGCCAGAAGGAATAATTTCACAGGGTGTTTATTGCCACAACTACCTCTTTAAACCAAGTATACATGCTTTTCAACAATGATTTGGTCAGATACTTTTTGGATAGCTGCAAATACTGTACCTTTAAAAAGTTCAGCGTACTGTATTTCCATGTAAAAAATATCTGTATAATATTACTGGCCTTGACACTCAATCTCCAGCCAATTCATAGTTACTGTAAATTCTATCCTTTTTATGCCCTTACTTCCTTCAGTATAGTTTGCTTATATGGAGAACAAACACAGCTTGTATGACTGACATTCAACATGTACTACACGCACATATACACCCATTCCCAGCATCAAAACAGTTGTCTCACCAAACAGGAAACTGTACTACCAGATAAATTATTCCCCTTTCACGACAGTTGATGCATGAAATAGTTTCTGAAAGAGCTGTTATCAATAACAATTTTGTTTAAGTATGCATTTCGATTTTGTCTGTTCATAGTATACATGTGCATAACCTTGGCTATGATGAGTAATCATGTTTCTTTTCCTGATTGTGGTTGTATTAAAAAAAATTTAAAGAAAGTTTTTTTTTTCAAAGAACATTTTCAGAAAGAGTACACGTACAAGTATTAATGCTTATCATATATCGTTAGTGGTGTTCCCTAACGTGGCGCGTTTTCCAAACTTTCCTCATGTGCAGTGTTGCCAAACCTTTTTGTTGACAAACTTTCAATTCATTCAGTTAAATAATGGCCTTTTGACCGTAATATTGCTTGCTGTTGAACTTTTGTGAACAATTTCAGTGTCATAGAATTTAGTCCGAAATTCAAAAACGGTGGCGTCCAGAAATTGGGCACAAAATTGGCCGAGTGTTCCCTAGCGTGGCGCACTTGAAAAAATCTTGGAAAATCCAAATTTAACTATTAAAGTTGATAATTTGTGATTACAAGCCATTATATCGATTACAGACCCAACTAGAAGTTTGTCCAAAAATTATTTTCTTATATTTGGGCCTTTTTCAAAGGAACTTCACTGTGCACCTCAAATAAAATTGGAAATTCATGCCAAAATGAATTCATGTTAACTCTTTAACGACGGTTAGGTATAAACTCACAAATTATTAATGGCCATGTTTTCAGCTTGATGAAATTTCACATAAGTTAGGGTACATCATCAGTATAGCTCACGTGTATACACATATAATTTCAAATTAACCCTAACCGCCCTGAATCCTCCAAAATCATTTTTGCAAATTGGAGGAATTTGCAGGATTGAGGTTACATGGCAAAAGTGCGTTGCTGATTTCGGAGTACGCACTGTGTCAAGGTCTTGGGCCGGACCTTGTGTTGTTTATGCTCAGCCGTGCATAAATGTAGTCCTTGATTATACTTGACATCCTCCGCACTGCTCCAGGATGTCACTGCCTCTGCCTCAACCTATTGACAGTCATAGCCGGAGGATTTTGCAGGATTCAGGCAGTGGTCACCCCTCCATGGACCATATTCAAGAAATAACGGAGGAATTTGCAGGATTGAGGCTATATGCTATTTTTTCATGAGGCCAATTGGAGGATTTTGCAAGATTGAGGCTACATCCTAGCAAAAAGGCCTAGGGAGTTAGGGTTAATCAGTCAGAAACTCATTTGTGCTACGTCATTATTTTTGGTGGGTATATCACACTATCGACCGTGTGTGTGGTATGTAGTCATATTTTTATCGTCTACCACATGCACGTCCATGTCTAATTGTTTACATGTATGTCCATATATGTCCATGCTGCGGCCCACGCCCGCACGATATTAATTTCATTTATTCCCAGCAGGTCATGCTCGACCAACCATGACCTTCCAAGCAATAACGCAGAATACAGTATTGCATGTATGCAACCTGTCATGCTTGCATGTTTAATACAAGCCACAATGTAACCTGTAGAGAGTACTGAATAATTACCAAAAAAATTAATGTCGAAAATGTGTTTTCATTGCCAAATAGAGGTCCAAATGGTTTGCATATGGCTCGCACTCTTGAACCTGTATTGTGTGACTGCATGCAGATATACACATGTACACCACAAGTTCACAACCACTTCCTGGTAAACAGATTTGCTGCACTGTTATTACATGTAGTGTTAGTATAATACAAATACAATAGAAAAAAGTGCATTCATTAAACAAAAACGAAAGTAGATGAAAACAACTTCCCATCATGTCACTGTATACAACAATCAGAGAATTTATGACTAAGAATTCAAACTTGAATGATGTGTCAAACCACTGACCAAGTCAACGTCACAGACAATCAGATTTTTTAAAGAATTCCAAAGGACAGAAATTTCACCCCAAAAACTTAATTTAATTAATTTGTAACAATTGAGAAATTACATCTCTTTTCTTCTTCACAAAAAAAGTCGATACAATTTTCTTATACAATTCATAGTTTTTTTTAGCACCATGCACATTTGGTATTATCCTTTGCAGCGGACGCAATTTGATTGGTTGTCCTATTTTTCACCAACCTTGAGGAAATCAGTACTAAAATTGTGAATTGATTCTCTGTAGAGCTGGGAATCAAGTAAAACAAAACCCTGATCAAAAATACAACAGTGGAGCATCGATTTAAACTCGGAAATGATAAAACCACAAAGGTTTCAAAACCAAGTCTAGGTGTGCCAAAAACAAAAAATTTAATTCATGAAGTACAACATTTGTAGTAGATACATTGTACGTAACTCTATTTTCTGAAGCACTAAGCATCAGGCATGCAACTGAAAATTTACAAGAAAAAAATTGAGGCAACTCCAACCAAACAAGAACTTGTACAGTGTTGTCAATTTGTAATGGCATTCTTGAGAAGTAAAAAACGAGGAAATCATCGGATCCGAGGAAACGTTGCATGTCTGAAACGTGATATTTTCCAAACATACACTCACTCCTAGTGTCTGTGTAATTAGTTCCTGATGGAGATCTGATTACATGTCAAAAATACCACAACTAGAAGAAGGAACTTAAAACTACCCTTGGCGTGTGGGTAGTCGCTTCCCTTTCCTTCTACTATAAACTTCTTCCTGATTCTCCCGTTGTCC